GCGTGTTGCGTACTCGAAAATTGGAGGCGTCTTCACTGTGCAAAGACTGCGGATCGAGTTGACTGTAACGCCTTGATGCAACTATTCATGTTCAAAGGATGTGCGTGTTGCATGTTCAAAATTGAAGGCACTTTACCTTTCCTCACCTCTTCAGGAATGCATGGGAGTTATCGTTAGTTGTAGCACCCGATTTTTAAAATAATTCCTGAACAAAATTTGATGGACATCTTTGGCAAGAATTTCCTTTTTTTGGTTAGTTTAATTCATCTCTCCCTCGATAAAACGAACTTCCCAGAATCGGTTTTGTTTACTCAGATACAATAGGGTTAGGGATAGGGTTTGTAAGAAATTCGTAAATTTTTATTAAAAACTCTTAAAATAAACTGAACAAAGTTAATTGTAAACTTGTTTCACTTAACCTTTAAATTTTGAAAAATTGCAGAGGTTTTTATTATGATACTTTTAGGTTTCGTTAAAAATACTGAGAAATGTTCGCTAGAAATCAATCAATGGGGGGCACTCATTTGTCAGCATCAGAATTACATCTATTATTAACGATCGGACCAAAGGCATAATTTTCAGACTTTAGACCGGCCAGTTCCTGAGCTGGCTGCCTAGTTCACGGACTGGGCAATGGGGATGACCTGTCTGCCAACAAGAAAATTTTGCCAACAGAGCATGACATAGGTATTCAAAAATATGGAACCCTTAAATTTCGAAGAACATAAAAAAATGACAAAATGATTGGGTTTTCGGCTACTTAAAATGAAAACAAATACTAGTTGAATTTCTCTTCAATAATATGCAAAGCCAGGCCATTCTTTAATAAAAAACAATGTGCAAGAGGATTTTTTTTGGGTTCTTGTATGCAAACTGCCAGTGTTTTTCCTATCTGTGTACGTTCTTTGCACTGATGAAGGCCATTGTCATGGCCAAAACGTTTGCTTGCTTATTTTTCACCATATTAAGGCACTATTTTAAATACCTATAAGCAACCTCTTGCAAATTTCTTTGAAGCATGGCCTGAGTTCGCATAATATTGGAGGGAAAATCGGCTTGTAGCTCAGTATTTGTTTTTAAAAAATAACTAGGGATGATGTCAGCACTGACCTTAAAATTTCCAGCGTTTGAAGCCATCGATAATTAGAGGTGGCTCCACGGTATATAGAAGCCATGATGCTATTTCACCAAAAGGGTGTTTATACAATGTGACAGAGGTCTCATCCAACTTGTCTGGATCTGGATGGTGGCGGCTGAGCAAGTGAAGAGAGTAAAAGCTCTTCCAACTGCTCCATTCATCAGCTACATATAGTTTTTCTATCAAATTCTGAACACCCAACAGGGTATCTTCTCTATGAGCCAGCTCAGGTTTCTTTGAAAGGACTTCAGCGGGGAACTGACCAGCATTGTAATACCAGTTTCTTGGTTGGTACCGTCGGTAGCCATTGAGCCACTGTTTTAAGAATCTTGCGTCTTTATGTGCAATCAAAATCTGAAATCAATCATATCATTTTAAAAAAAAGTGTGAGAGAAAAATTATTTTTTCACACCCATTTCCTCTGCTGAGTCATCTAAATTCATGTATAAATACTGCCAAAACTACAGCACAAGAGCAGCTTCCAAGCAAATGCATCCTCCTATACTGCCGAGCTGAGTAAAAACGCTGTAAGAGCCATCAGGTGTTGCTAAATTTCCTTTGACGAATCAATAATGTTCAGAGAAATTTATGAATACTGGTCTCCCGCTTTTTCAGAGAATTTTGTTTGTAATTTGGCCTTAAGAGTTGAAAAATTTCAAAAAAAATATTTGTAACTTTCTTCATAAGTAAATATATTCTGAAAGGAAATTTCAAAACATTCAAATGCTCATACAGTGTATTTACTTAGCACGGTAGTATAAAAGGTAGAGCTTTTTTCCTGCCTTACATTAGTCAAGTGATCATTTGTTACTGAGTATTAAACAGTTAAAATCATGTACACAAACATCATACGAGTTCTTGTCTGGTAACTTCTCAATATTATCACAATATGAGGGGCTCGGAGACAAGGCAAATAAGAACAGTTTTCGAAAAAATTGAGATGTTAGTAATTTCAAATAAATATAGGTTAGAGGTATGTTCTGTGAAAAATTCACTGGTAAAATCCAATTTTTAAGCATCAAAATGTGAGTTTGAACTTTCTTTCCACCATAAGGCTTCATATGATATAGAAACTTTAGACGCGCTTTTCTCGAAATAGCAAAAACTGCACTTAAGTGCCTTGTCCTCCAAGTGTCTCATATATTGCTATGTTCAGTTTGAAATGGTGTTAATATTTCCGTCAGATTCATTCTCTTTAGAGAGAGGATCAAATCATTCTTATAAAAAATTAGTAACTAGTTTTTCCTTGTAGGTATTTTTAAGAGCATTCTTTAAAATTTTTTGGAGAAAACTTATAATGAGTAATATGTTTTTAAAAAATAAAACAAGGCTGTAAATTTTAAAACAATAGCATCAATGAACAGGTTTTTTTAGTCCAGTACATCATCTTTTAAGATTAACTTCCTTTTTACTTTAGTAAATTTTGAGTTACGTTCAGATTTTTGCAAAATTAGTTATAAGATAAAAAAAAGGAGGTACCTGAGTGCCAATATTCTCTTTCTGCGGCCAGCCAACAACCATTTCATACTTTAAAAGGGGGTTCAAGGACCGGAGGACTATTGTGTCTGTGTCGAGGTATATGCCACCAAAATTCATTAAAACAAGAATACGTGCCACATCTGTCATATGATAAACTGAGCTGAGAGGTTGACCAAAGACATGTGTTGGTCTCTCAATGAAAGCCAATTTAATTTGTGTTTTTTTGAGCTTCGCTAAATTTTGAACCAAATCCCAGTAGTGTCCTTGAAGACGGTCCCTGTCAGTGTGGATGAGGATTGAATCGGGATTTTGAATCTGTAGGGCAAAAGAAGATGATTTCATTGTTGTTTGTGATGCACACAACTGTGAGACTACAGGGGTAAGTCCCTAAAAACAAGCGTTCTATTTTTAATTTTTTTTCCCTGTAGTACAGAATATTATTGCTAAAAGAATATTATTATTCGTAATGCAAGTCACTGAGGCAATATTTTTTAGGAGATGGATTTACTTGCGATAGTTTTGATGTCTAGAGGTAAAGGCAAGACATGAGCTTCAAGAGGTAGGAGGAATATCTCTCTCTGTCTACGTGAGTCTTTGAATGAGATGACATAGGAAGGAGCTAGATTTGACGATTGCAAAATCCCTCATTTCACAGAACTTAGAGAGTTTAAAACTTTTTTGTTTTTAATTTCCAACATTTGAAATTATTCAGTTACCTACCTTTGACATATCAGACCCTAATTTAGCAGTCCGTAAGCCATAGTTTTTCTGAAGATTTTTGGTGATTCTTTCAGAGTCTATCAAAGTAAACAAAACAATTTTTTTTGTTTGTTCATAAGGCAGGAGAATCTGCTCACACAAGCCTAGATAATGAGAGGGGAACACGAAGTAGTCCTCAAATCTGGCGCACTCCAGGGAGGGATTCCAGCCGTACTCCTGGGATCCGGATACCAATCGTGGTTCGGCTGATAGTGAGGTCTAACATCTCCAGTCTAGACTGGAGACTCTGGCGTCAGTCAAGTATGATTGGTTATGGGGGGGGTGTGGCCCTATGCAACGGCCCGCCAGACCATAAACCACTCCCTTTGAGTTGCAACTGCAACTTGTGCAACTCCTATTGTTTTGTATGGCAACGGGCTTAGCCGGTACTTTTCCCAAACTGCGGTTAGCCTAAGACCATTACCTCACCGGACAACTCGCCCCCCTCCCGCAGCATATAGTTGGGATTCACCATCCCCCCGGTCCCTGATGCCTCCAGGGACCTTTGACCGCCAGGCCCAAGGGTCCGACCAAGCCAGTTGACTTCACCACTACCCTATGGGGATTGAAAAAAAAAAATTGAATGGACATTATTAACTTACCTTCAGAACAGATGTCATTGAAAGAAATGAAATAAAATTCAAGGAATCAGTCCCGAACAAAATGTAATGCACAGTGTTTGGAACTATCGCTGCTAAGCTACCATTGATATGATCAAAACCCTCAAACTGATCTGCTGCCATGCCATGATTACCATAATGATAATAAAATGTGAAATTCAAGACTGTAAATACAGAGAGGAGAGCTAATGCTAAAATCAGTTTCTGCTTGTTCCGGTACATCATTCCTGAAACATAGGGCCATAGATCAAAGAAAAGAATTAAAGGATCAATGCTTTGAACTGACTATCCTTTTGAGTGCATTTAATGATACAACATGAAAATCAACCTGTTGAATAGGTGCCTCATAACTGACTGAGAACCTATTGCTGAGAGCTTCTTAGAGCAAAATACTCATCCAGAATTTGCCATTCAATCAAGACAGGCTATGGGAGCAGATTAAAGGTGCCTTTAAAATTCAAGGGATAGGTAAATATCTATCTCTCATTACTTATTGAAAGATCGAACTAAAAGGTAGAACTTGTCTACAAAAAACACAATAACATTATCACGTGACTTACTGTATCTACTTATCCATAAGAATTGAGATAACATAACCATTGAAGCATTTGAATTTTGAATTCAAGAAAAGTAAGATATGAAAACAGAAGATAAAACAATTTGTTGCTCACTTATTTACTTTAGATGGACTGATTTAAAATCTTACTATCAGTAAGGGCAGGGCTGCTGTAAGCAAAGCACATGTAGAATGGGCGGGCAAGCTTGTTTAGTCAAGTCATCTTGATCTACTTCATATATATTACTTACAGAATCAGATGGAGAGCGATGGCACAAAATTTTAAACTGACTTAATACAGAGAAGAATTATTAAATTAATTGAAAAACGAAAGTTCTCCCGCTTGTGAATTTTGATTTTGATAATAATGTGTTTTGTTATTATTTACAAATTATCACGTGATAAGAAATCCAACAGTCAACGGAAGCATCATCACCGGTATTCATCACCCAACAATATTATCGGCGTTTTTCGAAAAGCTCATGTCATTCCGCCTAGTCCGTATTTCATCTTCTTAAACTTATTTAGTCTTCCTCGCACTCGCATTTTTTTTTAAAATGGCTTCGGTCATGCTTCCCGTGGAACCCACGCCTGGATTCTCTTTCGAAAATTGTAGGAGGTATGCTATTTATTTGTTTTGAACCGATTGAAACATCATGTACCTAACCTAAGCTGTCACTGTCATCATTTATCTTTATTCAACTCAACCACAATTTTCTCAAATATTTTCTTAATGTTTGGACATATTTTCATTTTCAGGAACGAGTTTCTTAAAGCCAAAGGATACAAAGCACCAGTTGCCACCAAAACAGGAACTACAATCGTCGGATGTGTTTTTGCAGACGGAGTAATTCTGGGTGCTGATACCCGAGCAACCGCAGGCTCTATTGTCGCTGACAAAGAATGTGCAAAGATTCATTACATGGCAAAAAATATGTAGTAAGTAGCACATTCTCAGCTTTGAATTTAGTAACCCACTGCACCGTATGAATGGCCTCATAATGAATATCATCAAAGTGCTGTCAGGTAGAATTTCAGCTTCCAACTCCCGGTGCTTCATCGAAGTATAGATATAGATTCAATATAGATTGTCTGATTCCTCTGTTTACTGATAGCTACCTTATGGTCATATTGACCCCTTGAGATCGTTGAGCTTTTGGTTGAAATGGACACTCATATGATATCACGCAAGCCAATGGGTAATTCGAGCCGGTCCAACAACATCGAACGTCGAGTGGTTCCGTTACAAAGTGTCCTAAATTTTTTTCTACAGTAGCACACCTCATATTTCGTTTCTACTTCTAGGTTAGGGTCTCACTGCAAGAAATCCACTCTTTTGTGAGAGGCTAACCAATATTTCTTTCTTATCGTAATTTAGATATAGCATTTTTTTTACCTCTGACGTGTGCGTACCAAAACGGGTCTTTAGTTCTCTTTGCGCCTTAAGGCTGCTGCCGATATAATGATTTTAGAATTTATTACCCATTACCTGCCTTGATCCCAAAGTATTATCATCTCTAAAGGCTCTAGGCTGTCTTGTGCAACCAATTTGTTGACCAAATGATCTAAGAAGTTTCTAATCTTGTAATACCTATTCTAATTTTCTACAGAATATAGTGAAGTAGTCTTTTTACATAGTTTTGATTTTAATTTTCTCAATTGTGTAAGGATTTGTACCACTCTATTTAGTAGAATTATAATGGCCAAAGAGTTTGATGTGCAGCAAAGTCTTGCTGTCTGAAAGTTGAACACTATGCCTCCATTGCAGGCTCTACAATTTCCTACATGTAATTTTTGCCCTTGGATCAATAATTATAGTCCACGCCACGAAAAGTGGCGGGTGAGGGGCGGAGACAGTCGGCCAGTCTAGTCTATCGTTGAAGGGTTGAAGCGCAGGTATTGGCTCGTAGTTGAAACGGGGCAACGACTGGGCCAATACCTGCGCTTCAACCCTTCAACGATAGACTAGACTGGCCGACTGTCTCCGCCCCTCACCCGCCACTTTTCGTGGCGTGGACTATAGTAATAGTTCACCATTTCAATCCTGTTTCTTGGTTTTATTGCAGCTGTTGTGGAGCGGGTACTGCTGCTGATACAGAAGCAACAACAGCCCTAATTTCATCTCAACTTGAGCTGCATCGACTTAACACAGGTCGAGTTGTCCCTGTAGTCACAGCTGCCACTATGTTGAAACAGATGCTCTTCAGATACCAGGTGCGGTAACTGTCAGAACTCCCTCATAGCGTTTCAAACCCCTAAGATTTCTCTAACCTCTCTTTGCAAAGTTTGAAATACTTACTTGATTTTTCCTCCAAGCTGAAAATCGAACAATGGTTACAATTCCTAATGATTTCTCAGGTTTTAACCTGAAATTATCAAAAATGTAATAACTTAATTTACAAGACTGAAAGTGAATCTCATTAGTCAATCAGAATAATAGGTGACTCCATGCCACAAGTGACTTTAAGATCAGCTTTGTAAATAACTGAGGACCCCTCTCTTCATGGTCTACCTTTCAGATCCTGAGTTAACACTTGAGTAAATTCTTTATGAAGTAGATTTTGGTTTAGCAGTGACTATAAATTTTGGTCCTCTTATTTTATCCCTCTCTATATTTTAAATTTACGCTTGTATTTATTTTCTAAATCCAATGTTCCAAGGGCTGATCAAGTATTTATTCTGAAAATTCTAAAATTTCATTAAAACTCTCCGATTCAATACTTTTTTTTTTTTGATGAAGGGAAAAATTTGCTACAGTGCTCCCATCATGAGGGTCACTGAAACGCCCCCTATAAAAGGGGCCGACCGAATACCGGGACAGCAGCGGCCATCAGCCGGTGAAGAGCCGCCGAAGCGACCCCTAACCAACCTGACTGCTGTGAGATAGAAAAACCCGGTTATGTAGGGTTTGAGCACGCCGCTGTGTTCCATACCCCCTGAGCGACCCCTCCAAGCCACACCCCGTGCAAGTGTGGCCCATCGGGCGCTCTGATTCAATACTTGAATTACCAAAAACAAATGGGTCTTTAAGTATCTGGCAATCTTGCTCTCTAATTTTTATAATCAATTTTCATTTTTCAAGCACATCACATATCCTCCAGACATTGTGTTCAGGACCCTACCTTATTAAAGAGCAGATCTGTAAACCTTGACAGTGCTTTTTTAAATTTTCATCACATCCATTTCAATAAAATTTGTTACTCCTTGTTAGTCACAAAGGTCTTACTTTAGATAGTTTCAGCCATTACTTTAAGAGGGTTGTCAGTTCTTCAATTTGTGCTCATAGACAGCTGCATCGTCATTGGCCAAGAGCAAGCAAGGATTAGTGAAGAACAATGCCAATGTTGTGTGCCAAAAGTGTTAACTATAGACAACAGTTTATTCTGCTGCATTTTCATAAAGTAGTAGAAAACCAATTTTTTTCTCTCTTTGTGAACTTACTTTTTCCTTATATGCTCTCCATCTTTTTAAACCTTCATTTTATTCTATTTTTATTTCAGAACTTTAAAACAAATCCTAACAATAACACTGCTGTAGAACTACTTTTTTCTCCAATGATGGTGCTCAAAAATTTATAATTTTTGTTTTAGTAAACCGTATGTTTTATTTTTTTAGGGCCATATTGGAGCAGCTCTTATTTTGGGTGGAGTTGATTCAAATGGTAGCCACCTCTATACAATTGCTCCACAAGGCTCTACGTCCAAAAATCCATTCACCAGTATGGGCTCAGGTTCTTTGGCTGCTATGTCTATCTTAGAGAAATGCTGGAAACCTAACATGACGGTAAGCCAACATCAAAAAAGTATTCCTGGAGTCTTTAGAGATAATTCAAAAACTACTTTCTTACTCTGTCTGCCTCTCCCTCTCAGCTTTACCGAATCCAAAATTATTGAAAATTTGGCCCAACCTGTCCAAGAGCACAGAAAATATTTCCTGCTGAATTATTTGTTTCCCCTTATATGTGTCAAATTTTGTTAATTCACAAGCGAATCAATTGAATTTAACTAAACCAAAACTAATCTATTTAAATTTCCTTTTTGTAAAATACCAAGTCAATTCAACTTTTCCCTCACTTTTTCACTGACCAATGACATTTTTTAATTTTTCAGGAGGAGGAAGCCAAAAAAGTAATCCGAGATGCCATTGCTGCTGGTATTTTTAATGATCTGGGATCTGGAAGTAATGTAGATTTATGTGTCATTCGCAAAGGCTCTGTAGAATACGTTAAGCCCTACGAGAAACCTAATGTAAAAGGCACAAGGTAAGCATGAGCGCAATAATTTTTTTTGTTACTTTTAGAAACCATTGCTCTTAGTGAAATCTGTTATCTTTTGAGTATGTACATACGATACAATGGTTACTTGCTCAGATCAAGCAGGCAGGGTGGACTCAGTTCTATGTTAAAGGGAAAGCACCCTGTCTAGGAGGACATACTCTGAAAGCAAAGGCTGAGCTTTAAGGTAAAAGGTTAAGTCATCGACCTATCTTTTCAATACCCAATAAAGACATCACTTTTAAAGAACCTAATATAAGCTGTGGGAAAAGGGACAAAAATTTGATTATTCATAAAAATTAAACTGTTGAATGATAGTACTTTGAATGTAAAATTTAAAGTTTCAAAAAAGTCGACAGATGTGTTTCTGTAGACAGAGGGGAAATCGGAAGGAGATTAGAGTGATAAACTTCTGTGAGGATCTCATTCATTTGACACTATCAGAGACTTATTGTCGCTGATAAGTCACCTTGAACGCTGTATCCTGTCTTCTTCCATGATCCTCCCCCCCCCCCNCCCCCCTATCATTAGGTTCCCAATCCCTAGAAGAAATGCATGCTGATCTCCTTCAGAAATCCATCTTTGTAGCTCTTGGCATATCCAGGGCCTGTGTCTTCAGCCGCTAAGTCTCACTTTTGTAGGTTAAAGTCCCCTTCATCTCAGCATGAATAATTATAGTATTATACTCATCTTCATGTTTTCCTTCCGAATTCGATGATGTCAAAGAATTCTGTCAACATGGCTGTAGCTTTTCTCCCTAGTGTGCTTCCATCCTCAATGAATTGATTAATCTTTTCATTCTAAGGAAACTCATCATAAGTAATAATTAGAAAGACTAACACGTATTTAAGATTTTCCATAGTCTCATAAAGCCTTGCTATCTGTTCCACTTCTTTTTGTTATCGTATCCTCAATGATACATTACATTATGGCTGAACTCAAAAACCTTTTAGATTTCAGCGTTTTAAAATTTCTGCTTCTATTAAATTCTTTCTAAGGAAAATAGCCTAATAATATTGTTTTAATGTTTCACACAATAGTCTCCAAGCAGTGGAAGAATCTTGCATTTTTCAACAATTACATTGATTAAATTTCCAATCATAAAATACAATGGACAAGCAAGGCACGTAGTTTCCAGGTTTTAATTTTCAATATTTTACCAAAAGATCAGCCTTAATTCATTTTTATTATTTATTTATATTAATGATTGTTTTCCTAAATGGAGATGTTGCATGTGTGAGGAATTTGCGATTTGACTATTGATTCTTAAGTAAAAGTTCGCAAGAAACATGATGTTGCCACTGGTTTTCTTTGAAATCAACTCCCAAGCTCAAAAAAAGCTCTCAAGTTAAGGCCAAAATGGAGGGGATATCCCACGCAATCCTGAGAGTCCACGTCTACATCAAGACAAACTCTCCATGCAAAGATAGGTAGCAAATACATTAGCAGGGTTGCCGTGTTTTCAGTTTTAGAGTCCCCAAATAAAGTGGCAGCCCTGTCAATGTATTTGCTCCCTATCTTTGCATGAAGAGTTTGTTTTGATGTAGAGGTGGACTCTCAGGATAGCGTGGGATATCCCCTCCATTTTGGCCCAAACTTGATAGGTTTTTTTGAGCTTGGGAGTGGATTTCAGAGAAAACCAGTGGCACCATGGTGTTCTTTGGCAACTTTTACATAAAGTCAACAGTCAAATCGCAAATTCCTCACACATACAACATTTCCATCCCTAGAAAGTTTAAAACAGAATGGAAAAATAAAGAAACCATAAGTCGTCACATTTTCTTGGTTGCCATAAAAATTCGTTTTTCTTCTCTCCTCAGGACTGGCAACTACAAGTTCAAGAGAGGAACAACTGAGGTTCTCTCAAAGAAAGTTGTCCCAATCATCATCGAGGAAGAAATTGTGAAGCCAATCTCAAGTGACAGTCAAATGGATACCTCTTGATCATACTTTTGAGCCACGTGATTCTTTTTCGTTTTATTTTCGAATGTTAATATTTGTTTATGAAATCTCTCGATCATATTTTTGAACTGAGTGATCCTATTTCGTTCAATTTTTGAATGTTAATATGTGTTTATGAATTTCTATCTTTTTTTTTCACATAACTATGCAAGTATTAAAAACAGTGTACTACTAAAGGTGTAAACAAAATAATCAGTAAATCTTTTTAACTTTTTAAATTTAATTTTTACTTTGTTCTATTTCTTACCCTTAATGATATTTTAGATAAGTTGACGGATTAAACCAGGTTAACTTGACTGCATTCCTGGTTGCCTAATTTTCTGTTATATTTTATTTTTTTAACAGAGAACTAAAATATGTAAAGCCTTTAAACTCTCTGTGAGTTTACTATAGATTATGAAGAATATATCCGCACAATTTCAAGTCCCATGCTGATTCAAAAATTTCGCAAGGCTGAATCAGCAGATGCAAATAACTCTAATATATTAAAAATACCCATTAATGACAATAGTAAAGTTAGGAAAAAAAGGAGTAAAGTTATAGTAAAGTTGGGAAAAAAAGGAGAAAAAGTTAGGCAACGTCTATCGTAATTAGGTTAATTCCAGTCAAATCTGGCTGATCGGACTACTTTCTTTCAGTTAGGTTTGAAATCAGACTCTTAAATCTCCTGAAGTCGTGGTATTTATGATTTAATTTTTTTAAATGACTTTAAGCAACCCTCCGCTGTATTGAGTAAGATTCATTGTCCTAACTTTACTATTGTCATTAATGGGTATTTTTAATACATTAGAGTTTTTTACATCTGCTGATCCAGCCTTGCCAAATTTTTTAATCAGCATGGGAAGGTAATGTTGAGATAAAACTTTTCTTACGGTGATTAATTCTGCATTATTGATTATTAATTTCCATCATTGAGTCTTTGGTCTTCATCATTTGAGTTTTGTAATCTTGCAAAATGACTGAAAAAGTTTGTTGCGCAAACATATAAAAAAATTGGTCATCTTTTCTCAATTTTTAAATTCACTGAAACAAATTTTTAAGCGGAAATAATGTTTTGAATTCATTGTGAAATTTTAAGTTGCTGATACTGAGGGTCGTATTCATACCTGTCTTTAAATTTGTAAAGCCTCCTCAAGCCAGAAGATTAACATTAGTTAAGGAGGCCCCAATGTTTAAAGAATGACTACAAATGAGACTCTTAACCGCATAGAAAAAGAAGAACATTGAATTTTGTTTTGAGAAAGGAAAAGTTTGCTCTTTTGTCTTTGATTCAAAATTTTATTGATATTAAATAAAATACAATCAGTCTAAATTATTCCATTTTCGTTTTAATTTTACATTAGAAAATCGAGAATTCAGGGGGAAAAAATTGAGTTTATACAATTACTTTGACTAGATTAAAAGATACTCAGTTGAACTAATAACTAGAAAAACACAGCACGATAGACTATTAATTAACGAAAGAATAAAAATGTTGAAAATTCTTGGATTTTACAAATGGCAAGGTATCCTGCCTTGCTTATGCGTAGATCAAGATTATCTAAACATTAAATTCTCTTGATTCTTTTTACTAAAGCAAAGGGGACTAAACATTTTTATATACAATTAAAGTTAAAAACAGAAACAAAAACTCATTCCCCCACCCTAATAAATAAGCACAAAGAGAGTGAATAAAATTCCTGAGCACTCACTCAAATGTAATACCAACCACGTAAAGTTGTATGGAATAACGCTCTCATTTTCAAAAGTAATCATGAAAAAAAAAAAAAATAAATAAAGAATAGGTAAACAAAATGAAACAAGAACAAAAAAAGTAGTCGATTTCTTGGTCATGGAAAAATATGATCCCATAACAGTGTCCATTACTAGTGGATCTAAAAATGTATGCATTTACTTAAGTAGATTATCGTCGTTTGCTACTGGCCATGGACTCGCCAATTTACCTACAAAGTAAGCCCATACTGGATGTTTATCAACTTCTCTCCTGAAAAGAAGTTCACTCAAGTGGGAACCTTAGATACGTATATGTGAAACATTATTTTTCCATCTGGGGAAAAGCGTGCAATCTTTTTAGACATTACTTATTTTAAGCACATGCTCTCTTATTTCTCCTTTATCAGTCATAATTCTCACCCTGTATATAGCTGTCGTAATTCAGTTGAACAGGTTTTTATTGATTGTATAATATGTTTTCCATAAGAGGATTAAGTTGACTTACTTATGAAAGTTTTTCTGGATAAAGTCTTGCAGTCTGTCAAATTTCCTTCATGGTAATAAAAGTAAGATTATCTAGGTAAGTAATATATTTTTTGACGTGTAACCGTTCACAGGCACAACTGTGTTATAAGAATTTCGAAAAAAAGTTATTTCAACAACCAGATGTCTATAAACTCTCATGATTAGGTACTTGCAATTAAAATATTTACCCTCACTCTTTTGGTTTTATAAGTATTTTGAAAATTCAACTTTGGACAGTTCCAATGTCAATATGTCCCCCCCTCCTCCTCAAAGAAAGAAGGAAAAAATAAAATCTCAATAAATAAGGAATGTATAAATCCAATAAAAGTACGTCAATGGTACTATGTACGGAGGAATGCTGTATTGCAAAATCCCAACTAACAACATTTATTTTACCTACTGCTTGGTCATCTAAAAATTTACAACTTATAAATTTTATGTTAGACATTCAAACAATGTCATTTTGGCCACAAGCAATGTAACGTAGCTCCTTTTAGGTAGTATCGATCCCATGAAAAATCTGCATCCAACACTCATTTGTGTCGCGTATCGGTCCGGCAAGTTTCAAAGAAAGCTTGCTGAGGAGTCTGAAACAAACAAACGAAAGTTCATTTTCGGAATGAAAAGGAAAGACGGATTTTCGAGAAAGAGGAGGAACATCGGAGGTTTTAGAAGTGGCTTCACTGATTTTCTCATAAAATTTTCTTCAAATAGTCGCCCATAAAACCAGCGCCGGTTTTAGAGGGTGGCCACTGGGGCCGCGGCCCATGGCGGCAAAAGGGGGCGGCAAATTTTGAATTTTTTTCAGATGTAGGTATCAAAAAAAATCGGATTCAGAAAAAAAATTACGAACTAGAAAAGGCCATAAAGTCTCTCATTGCCTGAGAGGAAAGGTATGGTAGTTTCCAATTTTGTCGTCTTTCGGTGACACAAGAAACAGCACCTTTAATTAGTCGAGTTAAGAGAGAAACCAAACACGCAATTTGGCCTGGAACGGCGCGCCGCAGAGAGCAATGATAACGAAGACTTCACATGAAAAGGAGAAGCCCTCGACGCGGCGGTCGGCACGTAACACATATTAGCGCCTACAAAACTGCATGAATACTTCACGCATTGCGTCAAACACAGTGCGGTCCGCAGCGGTCGGCGTGAGACGCATAGCGCCTACAAGACTGTAGGAATACTTCACGCATTGCGCAGAACATAGTGAGGTCAGCGCGGCGCGGCGGCGGAAGTTTAGATTATTAAACCACATTTATGTTTGTTCTTTCATAATTTTTTCGTTCATTTCTTATAAATGGAAGGCGTTGTCCACACAGCGATGGGTTTACGAGACCTAACTTTCGCGCAAAGTTACATGAACTTTTGCTAGTAGTGTTGACAGGGCTTTCGCAAAAAAAATGTGTCCATCACGATTTAACGCGTCTTATAAGCCCCTCCCCTCCCCTTCCGGCATGTTCACTTGATGGCTTTTATTGATGTTTCAAAACGAATGAGAAGGAGGCGGCCCATGGGCGGCAAGTAGGTAAACCCGACCCTGCATAAAACTTAAAATGTGGAGGAATTTAACATCAACATTTGCAGTTTCAGTTGAAAATTTCATGTTCAACTCTTCGGAGTGCCTTTGTTTCATTGAACAGCGGTCTCTACTGACATAGTGCCATTAATACTTCATTTTTACTTCGAGGACATCTCTTAGGCATGAGTATATAGTTGCTCAATAAATCATGTTCAGCTCATCGCGATATCAAAACTGAAGCAGTAAGAGAAAAAGACACTCGCATCCTACGACCGTATGCAACTATTCGTGCTTAGGAGATGTCTCTCTAGCTTAAACCAAGGATTAAAAGCGCTCTGTCATTTTGGATTCTCGCAGTAAAGCCCACCAATGGCGCAAAGTGGATCGAGTCGATCAACGAGTCGAAGGGAGATGTCGGACAAACTTTGGAAACCTTAAAAGCGTAAAACTCCGTTTATAGGTACAAAACTTTGAGGTTTTAAAGTTGGTACAATTGGTTTCCTCGTGAAATTGTCTTCTAGACGCACCCCTTAAAATTTTAAATATGACGAAATAAACATCAAAATTTGTGGTTTTAGTAAAAAAATTCGTGTACGACCTCATCTATTAGCTCGTTCCACTGTGCGGCGCGGCGCGTGAAGTGTGGCGAGTGTCTGAACGGTCAAAACGCCTTCGTTTCCGTGCGTATGCAACACGGACATCCGAAGAGCTCGAATAGTCGCATCCAGGCGCTATGATGAGATTCGTTTAGTATTTGTCGCATGCGACACTAACTGGATCAACTGGATGGCATTTAACATAAAGGAGCAAGCGCGATCACAGTAATTTCAATTAAAATCGTGCAACTTTTTATTATCTTTTTAAATACTAAATATGTGTGCGATATTAAAATTTACGCATATTATGTTTTCCTTAGAATTTAATGATTTTTGGTGGAAAGTGAAAACTATCTGCTAGTCTGGGAAATGTTTTAGATAATTATGAAGAAACGACATTTTGACAACGCTGTAATCGCGGTGGTTCCTTTTTTGCTAAATGTGATCCAACTGAAGCTTGAATGTTTTTCTTGGGTACACCTCAATCTGAACCCAGCGTGCCCATCGTGCCGATGAAGTAAACATTTTTGATTTTCATCGCGACGATGACGATTTTCTGGGAAATGCTATGATTGTTTAAATATATAACAACTTTGCCGTCCATTTATGCTTGGGAAGTAGGTAACACCATGATATAACATTAATTACTCACCTACGTTTGGTTGTCAATGCACAGTTTAATCCGGATATTGTCACAGATGGGACGAAAGAGTGAAACTTTGGAAGTTTAGCGCCTCGTTGAATAAAGTTTCATTCAGATCACTCATGAGGTAGTCGTTGTCTCTCTCCAATAGGCAGATGCCACCATCGATTTCCTTAAGAATACTGCTGGTGAAGAAACCTGAAATATAAAATATTATACAGGATGACCATATAATTTCAAACAGGTTGATCGTAAAACCCATCAAATACTATACTTTTCAACACTACTTGTCGATGGCGAAACTATGCACGTCTCTCGGCAAATTGCCTTCAGTTGTGTCCGCAGCAATTTTTGTTAAGGATATGTTGTGCGTGCTGATTTTAGCTCATTACATACTCGACTCTCTGAAGGCGTTTTATGTGCTTCGATCGTTCTCCAACAGACTGCGCTACTTGCGCACAAGAAACGCCTTTAGAGAGTCGAGTATATAATGAACTATTTTAAAATCAGCACGCACAACATATTCGGAGCAGCAATTGCTGCAGACACAGCAGAAGGCGAATTATTCGGTTAAAAAAAAGTAGGTATAATAGGAAGTATGCATGCAACGAGAGGGCATGTATTCGATCGACGTGAGCCGATCGACACCGATTCAATGGACAAATTAATAAAAAAACCGGATCATAAACACTCAGTAAACTTGCATTTACTATAAACATTTCAAATTTTGGTATCTCGAATATAGGATCAGCCAAGATTTTGATTTTCTGCGATTTTGAGTCTTTACCTACCATAGATTCACCCCCCGCAAACTGTTTTTGGGTCCATTTTGTAGCATTTTCCCCCTCTAAGACCACAAAAGATAGACCATAGAAATGCACATTGTCTACTGACTCTAGCTAAGTTTATGGAGTGATATAAATGCGTACGTATCTCAAAGATGTAACTTTTCGCGCTTTCCGGTAGATTTTCTGCCTATGCAACAAAATTAAAGGCGCACTTCAAATAATGGAAAATACTAGCAATATTTCCACGACATTATTTATTGCCTCAATCAAAGCTTATGAAGCGATAGGATTAAGATGGCTGAGCCGATAGGAAGTGGGTAGATCTCCCAGTGCTCATGGCCATGCTTTCACTGTAGAAGACGTCTTGATTTTAAAGGTGAATATTTCGAGTATCGTTTTTTGAGATCAAAACAAGACTTTTTTGTTTTATAATGTTCCCCCAAAAAATCCTGATTCAAAGTTACGGCTCCTCAAAGTTTGGGCCAAAAATGCGTTTTCTCTGGATTGTGACGACAGTTATGAATGAAAATGCATGAAATCTGGCACTGTAATGTTCTTTCATACGCTGATAACATTTCTGATCTAAAAAACCAAAATCATGTTGTTTAAGGGGGGTTTCGGTGAACTTTTGAGGAAAGTTTTGCATACTTTTCCTTAAAATTTTCAAATATTTTAGATTGAACCGCGATCGAAACTGTCCAAAAATTTTGCAGATATATATTCAAAATTTTCCAAGCAAATACGTTTTCAACTGACGGATTGTGGCAAAGTATGAAGGTTCATACGGCGCTTTCCCTTAGCACAGCAGCACAGGTATTCTAGGTTTAATTAAGAGGCTTGGAGGACAAGGCGTATAAGTGCTGTTTTTGAAAAAAATGAGATTTTCATGAACTCAACTAAAACTCGTTTGAAAGTACACTTTCCGTGAAAAATTCAGAAGTAAAATTCAGCTTTAAAGCATCGAAAAGTGAGTTCCAGCTTACTTTCTGCCGTTACGGCTCCATGTGATTTTGAAACTTAAAAAACGCGTATTTCTCGAAATAGCAAAAACACCCCTTGTGTGCTCTGTCCTCCAAGCCCCTCAATCAGAGGCGTAGGAAGGAGGGGGGCCTTGACGCCCCCAGAATTGGAAATAGTATCATCTGTCCCCCCCTCAGAAACTCTGGATGGTGCAAAAACACCCTCTTCAACGGTAAGTCTCTGTCACCGTGGCCCGTGAGAGGATAACTATAAATAGAAAAACCTGTTGAATGCAACAATTTCAAAGTATTTTAACCTTAAAATGCATAAAACTGGGTGATTTTTGGGCAGAAATTGAAGGAAGATTAGCGCTACAAGTGCCTCGAGATGCGCTCAAATAGAGTTAAAATTTCAAAAATTTTCCGGAACCTTAAAATGCATAAAACTGGCTGATTTTTAGGCAGAAATTGAAGGAAGATTAGCGCTACAAGTGCCTCGAGATGCGCTCAAATAGAGTTAAAATTTCAAAAATTTTCCGGAACCTTAAAATGCATAAAACTGGCTGATTTTTAGGCAGAAATTGAAGGAAGATTAGCGCTACAAGTGCCTCGAGATGCGCTCAAATAGAGTTAAAATTTCAAAAATTTTCCGGGGGAGGCCCCCCAGACCGCCCCCCCCCCCCAGCAAAATGACCTAGCTACGCCTGCTCTCAATTAGTTTTATTATGAAACTTACACTCGCTATGGTCCTGATCGTCATTGTGGTCGATGATTTGGCTGCCGTGACTCATCTGGTTGATCGGCTCGAGGTACTGGACCTCGACGCGCTTCTTGATCCCGTTGAGGATGTCGCCGGCCGTCTCGTGGAGGGTCGGGTCCCGCTCGGCCGACAGGACCGGCGACAGCGAGAGGGACAGCGCGTCCGCCTCCACGCCCGGCCCTTTGCCCTCTTCGGAGACCCTCCCGTCGTCCCTTTGGCACAGGATTCCCGAGTCCAGGGAGAAGGCGTCCCCGCTCAGAGTCTGCTCGATGTTCCGTGTCGCCTCCAACACTTCCTCCCAGTTGTAGTCGTCCTTCGTCTCGCCCTCCGTCGTCGCCGCCGCTGGCGCTGTCACCGGGCTCTCGCTCTTCTTCTGCGACGGCTGCGACTAGAACAACAAACCGACGGGGAAATATTAATCGAGGGTATTTTTGGTCGCTACGCCTCGACGGACACCTCGCGGCAACGAGGAACCCTGGTCACGGACGGATACAAAGAGACCCTCCACTGCGGGCTGATTATAATTGACGGATCCAGCAAATTGGTAACAATGTCTTCTCTCCATTTGAACCTATGGGAAAGTATCGATTCTTGAAGGAGTCAGGTGCTCCGATACGAATTGATTGTTTGGCATAGGTTTAAATGGAGTGCATTTTGCAATTTGGAACTATTAATTCTGGCTCATCTGAAAAAACACTTATATGCACAGGGAAACTAATGGCACGTGCGTTGTTTTTAAACCGGGCCAGAATTTATTGTTCCTAATTGCAAAATGTAGTCCAAATGGAGGAAATCCTGTGTTGCCAAATTGCTGGCTCCGCCTCTGTTGACTATTAAAATTTATAGACGATGTGATGGTTATAGACAATATGACAAAGGTGGAGAGATGTCAGCTTCCGGAGGATCTCTACCATGATTTCTGTGGCGAGTAGACGTCGCAGGGCGTCCTAGCGTGCCGTAATAGCGACTTGTAAATATGTAGACAATGTGATAGACGAAGAAGACGTAGTTAGTATGGAGCGATCCTGTTGCCCTGGTAAAAATTGACAGTAGAATCTGTGTTCCAAAATACCATAGACCTACAGCCGGCTGTAAGATTTCCAATAGCTTCTATAGCCGGCTATACAATTTCTTAGAGCATTTTATAGCCGATGGCGATTAAGCAACAGCCAGGCGATAAAGTGTATGCTAAACGTTACTAATTACGGATGCTACGACTTGGTGAGTTTTTGGAATACTGCTGCTCTCTTTTTGGGCCGTAGTATCTTGATTTATTTTGCGAGGAAAGCTCCGTACTTGTGATATGGATTCCTGCTATTACTAATATATTAGAGCGCCTTCAGTTTTGTATGATACTGTGCAATGCCTCTGATATGAAACAGTTGCTTCAAGCGCCGTGGCAGGCGGGCAGCCAGCGCGAAACACGCATTGGCGCCTACAAACCTAACAGGGGTACTTCACGCGTTGCGCAATGCGTGAAGTATCCCTGTTAGGTTTGTAGGCGCCAGTGCGTCGCCGCTCCGCTTTGTGTTAGGCTCTAATATTTAATCTGGCGGAGTCAGCGTTATTCAACTCATGATTTTGAAATGCATGTTTGCACATCCTGTATGGATTATTCTCATTTTAATTGATGAAAAAAATATGTATTAAAGGAAAATATAATGTGTTTGGTATATAAACCACTTAAGGTGTTTTAATAATATTATTTTTTAATATTATTTGTAATTAAAGTAAATTTTGTAAATATTAAGGTGGTTCCGCATCAAGCTTAATGATTTCCAAAGCACACGAATTTCTACACAATTTCTTATAGCCTTTCATTATCGATGGCGAAAAAGCAACAGCCAGGCGATAAAGTGTAAAGCCCGGCGATGGGAGCTATAGCCCGGCTGCATAATTTTTTATCGCTTCGTATAGCCCGGCCGTATGATTTTCTCCGCATTCTACAGCCAGCTATATGATTTTCTGTAGCCTTCTTTAGCCGGCTTTAAGAATTTCTATGGTATTTTGAAACGCAGCTCTTATCGCCAATTTTTACCAGGGTGGTTGAATGAGTGGTTCCTGTAGACTAAGGGAGAATATTATGCACTAACTATAGGGTCTCTCGTTGGTTGACGTTAGTTAGTCTATTACCCACCTCCTTTGTCCATTGCAACCACCTGCTTCCACCAGTAGGATCCCTCCATATCGCTGTTGTTTTCTTGGCCTATCGCTTAATCTCCCAATTTCAACGTGTATAAACGTATGGCATTGTGTCCCAATGATGCAAATGCAACAAAAAAGACAACTCACTCGCACGTTAAGTGTTTTTTGATCTGTTTCCTTGTGCGGGTCTCCAGAAAGAAAAATTGTATTTATAAAAATACAAATAATCACACAATGTAATTAATTAGGTACCCATTTCGTGGTATGTTGCTTGTGATTTATTCATAGAGCAGTTAAATTTCTAGATATTTTTTTGGTTCTAACGCTCATGAATCTATGTAAAAGTAAAAGAACTAGCCAGGGACAAACCTGTGGTTCTGGAGCTGGGATGGTCGTTGGGGTGGTTGTTGTGGTGGGGGTTGTTGTGGTGGTGACTCCTTCATTATTGCTGAGAATCCAGAAATGACCGGCGCCGTGGGGAGCTTTGTTGCCTTTCCGGAAATGAGGATTGATCGACAAATTGTGCCGAACAGAATTTTTCCATCTGTCATCATTTGGCCTATAAAACGGGAACCTTTCACTGCAACAAAATAGAATAAAACGATTAGGATTAGGTCGGCTGAATTCTCGTTTTTAACACTAAAAATCGCAAGCATTGGCCTCAGTACACTCATCATTATTTTTTCTTTTTCCACCGAAATTATTTAATAACATCAGTCTCCGAGACATTTTAAAAATCGGTATAAAGATTTATTTCTGTTGCTCACTCTATGTAGCGCCAAAGGCAAAGGTTATAGCCAAAGGCAACCCGGACGACCGCCGAAGAGATGGACACAGAGCTGCCTTTCTTCCCCGGAGGACCATTAAGTGATCTCTCTCATCGCCATCATACTAATTTAGAGGCTAGACAAACAGGATTTCGGCCCTAGTCAAAAGTTAGAAGAAGAAGAAGAGGAAGACCATATGTAAAAATTTCATAGAGATTATCGGCACTGTTACCTGAATTTCTTTTGGCAATATAAATGAACTTATTTTATTTTAAAGTCTACAGTATTAGTTGCGTTTTTTTTTTTTTGCCGATCTGTGCTTAAGCTGCTTAAACCGATGAGAGAGTCTGTGTAACTCCTTCTACTTAACTCAGTTCACAGACTATGGTACTGCAGCATGCTGAGGGTAAGAATAAAGTAAGATAGGTGCGTAATTTACACGTCACAGGCTGCGTCACGCTCAATTGATTTCTGCACTAATGTGACGCGTATCTCTCCCTCCTTGGTTAACTTGTGTTGAAGGGCCTTTTAGGGTCAAAATGATTGTATACAGGGTGTCTCACCTATAACGCTACAAAATGAAGGAGTATATTTTAAGGAACAATTTAAATAATCTCTCTTTTAATTAATTGCCTCCATAAAAGTAATCTCTCTCTCTCTCCCTCCCTCCCTCCCCCTCCCCCTCCCTCCCCTCCNNNNACAGCCCCTTTCTGAAAAAAGTTATTTAAAAATTCATTCTGCACAAAATTATTTTTTATGGGAAACTATTCAAAGTTGATCCGGTGTCTGAAAATTTATCTTTGAAGGCAAACATCTGTCAGCCGGTTGATAGTATGAGACAAACAACAAGAATCTCGAAATTGTATTTTTTGACAACCTCTTGGCTTGTAAGATTAATTTCAGGATTCAATGAACTCTGCCATGACTTTTGGACAGGAAAAAACCCCCAGATAAAGTATGAAAAACTGATAAAAAAAAAATCCCAATCAAACATCTTGTCATGCATGTGTTGGGATCCTCATTTTAAGCATACAAGTATAAAGTACGCAACAATTCATTTTTTTGGCCTTCATTTCTTCGCTGAATAGTGTGGATCCAGCACTATTCCACCATCATGGCACTTACAGTTCGGGTCACATTCTTAGTGGTTTTGTTTGGTCGACTGTAAAATTAAATTGTGAAACGATTATAGCGCATTTCTACGATACTCGCATGAAATAAGCTTTCAAGAAGTGATACAAATACTGAGGTAAGGTATGTACACATATTTTTTAATAGCGCCGTCATAAGGATTTTTAAAAATAATTTGGAAAAAAATTAATAAATTCCAATAATTTCTATAAAATCTAATGATTTTTAATACATTCTAAATAATTATTCTAATTACTTTATTAATTCCGATAATTTCGTTCCAAAAGAATAAGACTATGACAATCTAGACATTTTAAAAATATTGCTGATTTTGTACAACAACTGTATTGTAACAATTGTTAATTGCATAACAATTTAATTTTACAGCTGACCAAAAAAACCACAAAAATGTGACCCGAACTGTAAGTGACATGATGCACTGAAAAAAAATATCGGTGTATTTACTAAGAAAATTGTAAAATTACCAAAAATTCAGGGTTCTATTTGATCCCAGTTTTTTTTTGGTAAAATTACCATTTATGGAATTGGTAATTTTACCGAGAAATCTCCGTAAAATTATTGAACTTTCTCTATAATTTTACTGGACCTTGGTAAAAACGCCAATATTTTTTATAGACTGTGGTAGAATTACCGAGATGAAATGGCAAAGTTACCGGGAATTGATTACCAATAAAAGTGGTATTCTTATCTGGAAAAAAAAAACAGTAAAAATACCGGTTTTAGGTAAAATTACCAGTGTGTCTTGGTAAAATTACCAATAATTGTTAAAAAAAAGTGAGATGGTAAAGGTACCAACGGACCGTGGTAAAAACGCCGAGAATTTTTTTTCAGTGTGGTGGAGTAGTGCTGGATCCACACTATTCAGCGAAGAAATGAAAATCAAAAATATTTAATAAAAAAAATGACCGGCATTAAATTAGAGTCACCCTGTACATTACGTGGGGCTGCCGACCAGTGAATCGTGACCAGGAGCACCTGCAGCAGCGAGGCTGCATGGCAATGCAGACGTACGTTCCACGGTTCCCGATTATAGTTGCCAGACGGTGCTCATAAATCAGCACTTTCCCCATCTAACTCGACAAATATCCACATTTTATCGGGCAGTCTGGCAACTTTGTTCCGGATCCCTATCCCGGGGGTGCCGCTCGATTCCCGGCTGGAAATCTGGATGAGTCGGAAGCTCGGAAGCTCGGTACCACGCTAAGCGGTGGTACAACGCTACAACGGCCATCGTCATCGCAGAGGGGCTCCCCATCCCCCCTTCCCTCCCCTTTTCGCTCGCTCGCAACCCCCGGACAGCTCATCCCTTCGCGCTTCGCCTCCGCCGTGACCCGGACCCGAAGTTAGTCCTTTCCACTTTCGCTACTGACGATCATTCACGTATAACGTGACGCTAGACCACCGTTTCGATATGAGGGGGGGGGGGATTACAACTGAGTTAAAGCCGTACGATTAGCCATTCTTTAAGTCGCTCATCTCCTCACGAGAGCCAGCCAGGGTTGCTCCTTGAACGGATCTTTTTCTCAGCGGGCCGATAATTGAAATTGATAGACAAAGCTATAGATAAAGAAGACAAAAGGGATATGGAGGGATCCAGGGTTGAATGAGTGAGAACGAAAACACACCAACTCGGAAAAATGAAAATAACCGACCCACACATAAAACTGCACAGGAAGAGTAGAAGTCACTTTAAGAAAAAGATTTTTGCTGCCGAAAGACAAGTACTTATGGACACTTTAAAGGTCCAAGTTGGAGCAGATGCGCAAACTTGTACGACCTTTATGTAAATCAACCGTCTTTAATGGAATTTGAGCATTTTCGAGATACCGAGTGGGTGTGTCTTCGTTCTCACTGATTCAGTTATAAAGCCGTACAATTGGACGTATTTCTATCAACGGAACTAAGCGTCATAGGGGGAGGAAGGTAGAGGGGGGCTTGGATTGGCGGCGGAAACGGGCGTCCTGCTAGTTCCGTCCTATACTCACAATGCTTTTCCATGGCGCTTAGTTCCGTTTGACAAAACGCGCTATCCGGCATTCTAAATTCCTCAAAAGGAACTCAAATTGGCGCTTAGTTCCGTTTGACAGAAATACGTCCAATTCACCATTATTTAAGTCGCTCAGTTCCTCAGGAGAGACAGAGCCGGGCGGTTGCTCTTTGAACAGCGGGGCGCTTATTAAAATTGATAGACAAAGCAATAGACAAAGGAGACATAGGGAGTATGGAGCTATACTATTGATTGAAATGGATGGTTCCAATAGAGTAAGGGAGAAAATGATGGACTAAGTATGGAGTCCCTTGTGAGTTGTCGTTATTTAGTATATTCTACGTCCTTTGTCCATTGCAACCACTTGCTTTCACCAATAGGATCCTTCCACATCTCTTTTGTCTTATTTGTCTGTAGCTTTGTCTATCGATTTCAATAATCGGCCCGCAGATCAATTTCTCAGCAGGCCGATTATTGAAATTGATCGACAAAACTATATAGATGAAGAGGACAAAAGGGATATGGAGGGCTCCAGAGGGATCCTATGGTGGATGTGGGTAGTTGCGACGGACGAAGGAGGTAGGAAATAGACTAACTACTGGGAACACCGAAATAGCCAATTGTACAGCCAGATATAGAAGCTACCTTATAGCCGGCTGTGCTACCGTGCTAAGGAAGAACGCCGTATGAATATTCGAGAGTTGCCAAATTTCCTTCGACAAAATTTTTATTTTTGAGGTAAGTTAATGCATGTTTCTCCTTGAAATTTTCAGGAAATTTAAGTGAAATTGCGATCAAAATTATCTAAAAAATTAGAAGAATAATATTCATAACTTTACTAGGAAATTTGTGTTTTATGAAAGGAAATTTGGCGACGCCTAAAGGCTCATACGACGTTTGTCCTTAGCACGGCAGTATAGATCCGCGGTATTTTTGAGAACATAACGACGGTGTAAGTCGGCAATCACATAACTCGGTTTGCGACGTCGCGGACTTCCTGCCATACTTTATTTTTTAAACGGAGAACTACTCAACGGCGATTCTTTAAAACTGCCGTGATTTTTCTACTCTGTGCGAAGAATATTCTGCATAAACTTTAAGGAACGATGTCAATTTGTTCTCCTTTAAAAAAATAACATAGATGCGGATATTTTAAGACACTGCAAACGAGATTCGTGATTGCGGACTTACGCCGCGCCGTTGATAGATCCTACGGCCAATTTTTACCACGGGAGTAAACGACAGTCACTCTGAATATCTTGTTACTGAGCATTTCGTACGGAGGAAAAAAATAGACAAATTTAGAATTTAGGCGTTTTTGCCGAGGACGACAGTGTACGTCTCGCGCGAAGAGGAAGATTCGTAGATGGGAAAATATTGTGATTATGAACTACGTATGTGCTATGTTGGTGTATGTGTTCCGGACCAATGGTTTTCATTCACAAATTGTCTCGGCTCTGACACGGCCCGGTGCTACTCCGTGCCCTGGTACCGGCTATTGAACAGTTTTCTTAACCCTTAACCCTGCTCTAACTCGTAATATCACATACAGTTTAGCTCCCCCGGACCCTCGGTCCCCCACNCCCCCCCCCTCCGCCCGCAATCCCCGCCGTGGGCACCGATTCGTCGCCGTCGTCTCAAAAGTTCCTCTCCGTGGATATTCTGGATCGTCACCCCAACTTTTACTACCTGCTCAGTCGTGGTTGCTAAATTACCCGAGGTTCTCAGGTTGTTGCAACGTTGAGCAACAATAACAAACCGTCATTCGTGACCGCCAAAGAGAAGCTAGAGTACCTATATTGAGAGAGTACACTGAAAAAAAATTCTCGGCGTTTTTACCAAGGTCCGTTGGTACCTTTACCATCTCACTTTTTTTACCAATTGTTGGTAATTTTACCAAGACAGACTGGTAAACTTACCTAAAAACCGGTATTTTTACTGTTTTTCTCAGGTAAGAATACCACTTTTGTTGGTAATCAATTCCCGGTAACTTTGCCATTTTATCCCGGTAATTTTACCACAGTCGATAAAAAATATTGGCATTTTTACCAAGGTCCAGTAAAATCACCAAGAAAGTTCAACAGTTTTACCGAGATTTTTCGGTAAAATTACCAATTCCATAAATGGTAATTTTACCAAGAAAAAACTGGGATCAAATAGAACCCTGAATTCTTAGTAGTTTTACCCTTTTCTTAGTAAATACACCGAGATTAATTTTTCAGTGTATGGCCACTGGGCCCCATGGAGAGGCCTAGGACCCCAAAATGGAGGTGCTTTGTTTTGGTTTTTGTGGATGGGAGGGGGGTCATTGCCAACTTTTGACGGTTATCACCAACCGCACTTGCTGCCAACCTTACCACATAAGATCATTTTTCTCAAAAATCGCACATGATTAGTCTTAAAAATATGTATAAAAGTCGCAATAGTGCATTTGAGTAAATTTCTCGTCACGATAACCAAAAAAAACACTACATTTTGAGTCATTTTGCATTATATTAATTCATGGCGTCCGCCATTTTTGGGTCCTAAGGGCTCCATTCAGCCTAAGATGGCTGAGCCAATCAGAGGTGGTAACACCAGTGGCCATACTCTCTCAATATAGGTACTCCAAGAGAAGCGAGATATCAAGTGAATCGGGACGTGCGAAAACCGCTAATGTCCATTTTCCCAGTCTTGAGTTTTTTTGAGTTGATGATAATACTTTTTGGAGTTGGTTGCGAGTGGCGTTAAAACTTGTCTTCAGGTTTTTTTAATTCCGAAACGAGTCCTTTCATCACTTTTATGGTTTTATCAATTCTTAAAAAGTATTATCAACTCAAAAAAAACTTTAGACTGGAAAAATGGACATCAGCGGTTTTCGCACGTCCCGATCCAATTGCAAGCACTCAAAATTGAAGGGCTTGAAGGGCAAGGCGCACAAATGCAGTTTTTGCTATTTCGAGAAGTCCGTGATTGAAGTTTCGAAATTACATAGATCCTTACGGCGGAAAAAAAGGTCAAACTGACTCATTGAAGCTTATAAATTGGAATTTGGAAGCGACTTTCACAGAATACGCATTCAGACTCAAGTTTTTCTTAAATCATCCATACCTCATTTTTTTTCAAATATGCGCCTTGTCCGCCAATACCCTCAATTGAGATATCAGTACAAAGGTTTGTAGTAGTGTTTTGTGGAATATTTTCATGTAAACAACGGTTAATAAGTTTCAATAAGACTAGAATTATCCGGAAAAAAGTATAGCGAACGGCCTGTTGTCGGTTCCCGTTATATCGATGGTGAAACTGTGGAAACGTGTACTTCGATTTGCAGCGCGTTGCAGACTTCTAGTCATACTTTATTTTCTTCGTGGAAAACTACTGCACGTCATTTTTTTGACATTTCAGTAACTTTTTTTCGGAGAAAAAAAAGTTTCACTTGTCTCTTCATTCAGAGAATATTCTGTAAAAACTTTAAGCGATGATTTTGGTTCGATCTCCTTTCAGAAAATAAAATCGAAGCGAAGATTTTGAAGCACCACAACCGAGATACTCATTTTTGCATTTTCACCGTCGATATACAATTTGGTTGGATGAAAGTAATCAACACCAGGGTAGCATTACCATATTTAGGGTAGCAGGGTAACCATACTCTAATGTAATTCTTGCCACAGTGTATTGTAAAATTCATCAGGATTTTGATTATACCTTCACCCAAAAGTCTATTTAAGTTCAGACTCAGGCACATCTGTGATGTGTACCATATTTTGTTCCATCGTCTGTTAAGCCAATGAAATTGAGACAGTGGAATTGGTAGGTTGAGGGAGAAAATATTGGCAAAATGCACTATCAAAAAGAAAAGCAAAATAATAACTTGTATGCTTCATTTCATCAATGTGAGTCCTCAGTAACATGACACTACCATTATTAGAAAAGACCGATTAAATGTCCTATGGGCGTAATAAGAGGACATTTACTAAGAATTACATTTTTTTTAGAGGAAGAACTTTAAAAACCTACAATTAGCGGCGACACGGCGTTTCAAATATTGACAGAAGCATAAAACACGTAAAGGCTTTTTTGAACGTGCATGCTTTCTCCGAAATGAAGGAGTTAGAATGAAAACTGATCTTTTCAACCATAGAGATCCGTTCAAAGAGGCCGTGCCCTTGAATTAAGTATCCCAGCCTCCTTAAGTGGCCATGTGCGGTGAAAATGAATGAGAGCGTAAGGAGATAGCGCCTTTTTTAAAAGAGGAGCTTTCTATCGTTTTGCTAAAATTAGAACGCATGACCTAAACACGTATTTCTATGCATATTCAGCTCTATAGAAATACACTTCTAAAATAATAACTCAGAAAAAAAAAAAAAAAAAAAAAAAAAAAAAAAAAAAAAATTAGACGAAAAAGCAAAAAATAGAAAAAACAAAAAACAGAAAAAATTAAAGACAGAAGAAACAAAAAACAGAAAAAAAACAAAAAGCAGGTGGTAATCTAATTGATTGTTTAATAATTTAACTGCATTTTGCAATTAGGAGCTGCAATTTGTAGCCCATCCGTAAAAACACTCATGTGCATGGGGAAACTAATGGTGCATACGTTGTTTCTAAACTGAGCAAGATACTGTAGTTCCAATTGCAAAACGCCGTCCAATTTTTCTTCTTGAGGGTATGCCCTTTCAAATGACATGTTTTTGTGTTCCTCACATGTGCATTGACAATACTTTCCCCGGAAATCGCATACAGTGTTTGTATTACGGAGGAAAGTTCGTGGTTTATGAAATAATTTGGACAGTTCTTCGTGAGAAAGGTACTCACTTTTGCCTTAATTATTTTATCAATAATAATTATACTAACTCCGAGAAAAAATGTGACTGTTTTGGTGACAGGCGATGGATGATAAGGTTTTTGAGGAGCATTACGAATAAAACTGGGAGTAAAGTAATTATCATTCGGAGGCATGTTTCACCATCAAAATTCAACGGGAACAGTGAGAAGAATTCGTGGAAAAATGTCCACGATCACGTGAAACATTACAGCGTTTTTGAATTGCATCATTAATAAACCCCACGCTCTTCGAAAAATCCTCAAAAAAGGCTCACGAGAAATGATATGAATTTTTAAGCTTATGAAACCAACTTGACACTGATGTCGGATCTGAGAAAATGTCAGAGTCCAGGATAGGAGCCTCCAAATATAATGATTTAGGGTGCTTATTTTTTAAGGTTTTTAAGTTCTAAAGTGAAAGGTGAATGGGCAGCGTAATCTCAAGGGTGTCAGTTCATACTTCTGGTGTAGAAAAAAGTATGTTTTGTTTCAATAATTCACCTCTTAAAGGAGCAAATATTGTCTTGTAAACTGAAAACTAAGATTTGAATGCAAAATTTTGCAACACCAAAGTTGAAGCCAGCAATTTCATAGTTGAAGCATTAAAGCCCTCGTCTGGTAGCTTAAGTGGAATTTTCCGCTCGGCGAGACTATGGCTAGGAAAATTGAAATTTTTGATGCTAGACATTTATCGCTCTCATTAAACATCGATGGTTTCTCGACGCATGTGGCTCTACTTCTGTGCACCGAAAAAAATAATATGCTGTTTTAGCACCTAGGATGTTAAAAATGTGTCTGGTGATCTCAAGATGCTGCCTTAACTGCCTACAGAGTTAAATTTGCATTCACAGGATGTAAAGGTAACTGCGAGGGCAGTAAGGACAACAACTCCGGATCACTAGACACATTTTTAACATCCTAGGTGCTAAAACAGCATATTATTTTTTTCGGTGTGCCTACCAAAAATAGTTGATTAATTCATGCAGCTCATGAGAGGAGACTTGAACGTTAAGGTGAATCTTTAGCTATACTCACAGTGCGGCATTTTCCCGCTCAGAGGCGCCTGGTGCCACTACTGTGTCATTAATATTGTGCCTTCGTCGATGAAGATTGTTCAGCTCACCATGTGTCCTTGAATTATTAAGGAAAAAAGGCTTCTTTCTGAATTGAAGATTCATACATCAGTAAATGCCCCCCTCCCCCCCCTCCAAGTCACTTAAATAACTCTGGGTCCGCTCTGAAAAAAAATTCTCGGCGTTTTTACCACGGTCCGTTGGTACCTTTACCATCTCACTTTTTTTCCAATTGTTGGTAATTTTACCAAGACAGACTGGTAAGTTTACCTAAAACCGGTATTTTTACTGTTTTTTTTTCAGATGAGAATACCACTTTTGGTAATCAATTCCCGGTAACTTTGCCATTTTATCTCGGTAATTCTACCACAGTCGATAAAAAATATTGGCGTTTTTACCAAGGTCCAGTAAAATTACCGAGAAAGTTAAATAATTTTACCGAGATTTCTCGGGAAAATTGCCAATTCCATAAATGGTAATTTTACCAAGAAAAAACTGGGATCAAATAGAACCCTGAATTCTTGGTAATTTTACCCTTTTCTTAGTAAGTACACCGAGATTTGTTTTTCAGTGTGCCACTGTGCTTCGTAGACCATTGATTTGATCACAGAATGAGAGTCCCACGGAAAATGTTGAATGAGGAGTACAGAGTACACTTACGATATCCAAGAGTAAATGTTGGAGACAGTCAGCTGGCCCTTTTCTTTCAGCGCCTGGTCAATAAGCTCGGTGTACGTGAAGGGAGGTTTCGTGGGCCTAGGTTCGACTTTCTGGGCCTCTTTGGCCTCCTCCTCCGAGTCCTTCGATCCAGGGTCTGCGTTCGGGTCGAAAATTGACGCCACCTGGACAAGGAACAAAACAATTTTAACGGACTCCCGAAATAAGTCGTCGAGCAAAGACTTACTAACAAGGTAGTAACGTGCACGGAAAAAAAAATTGCTGATTCAACAATTCAATTGCTAAAAACAGCGAGTGCAATGTTTCAACGCAGATTTTACAACAAAAAAATGCCACTTAAACCACATTGTAAACTAATTTAACCACGGGAGTGGTTAAAGTATAGCATTTTTTTGTTGTAAAATCTGCGTTGAAACATTGCAATCACTGTTTTTAGCAATTGAATTGCTGAATCAGCAATTTTTTTTTCCGTGTGCTGTTCTCTGCCATGCCGGTGGCGCAGCGTGCTTTATATCGATTGATCTGCTATTTAAAGCCATGGAAAAGGCCTTGATGATCGATTCTTCAACATAGCTTAATGGGGATATGTTGACAATCGGCCATTCCTGCTTCGCCATTGTTCTCTGTAATTGTAAATGTGAACAGATCTATGTCAAGAGAGACCTTATTTTCTAGGAGAATATGTCTCTTAACTTCTTGCGAATACATTGAGAATGAAAATCTAGAGATTTTGGCGCAAGGTTGACCCTGAAAGCTAAAAAATTGAAGAAATTATAAGTCCTGAAGTCTAATCTTTGGTTGCAAAAAAATGCAGTGTAGGTTTTTCCAAAAAGTCGAGGAAAATTTTCTCCCGGAAAATAACGTCCCTTCACACGAATCCGGTTACAAATGGACTAAATTTTGCACTTTGGACCTATAAATTCTAGCCTGGTTTAAAAACAACGTATGTGCCATTAGTTTCCCTATGCACATAAGTGTTTTTCTAGAAGAGCCAGAATTTATAGTTCCAAATTGCAAAATGCAGTCCAAATAGTATCAAGCCCCACTTTCTGAAACGCTAGAATGTAGATTAATCTTAGTATGGCAAGAAGTTTAAGACGTGAGAAGGGGAATAAGGAAAATTGTGCTTCTTTGTACCACCTCTGGGTCCTCTATCGGGAAGGGGAGGGGGCGATTTTTTTGAAATGTAAATGGCCTCGACTCGTAGTTATTTCTAGAACTTTTTAGACCTTTCTCGCATTTTCTTTAAGTGACGCATTCAAAGAGGTCTGTCATCTCTCCGAAACCCTCTAGGATTTTTCTCGAACGCGACTCTCGAAGAAGTCATGAGGTGTCGGATGATAGTTTGCCTGAAACTTTCTACAACTCTCTCACTTGTTCTAAGTGACTCAAAAATAAGTCAAGGCCTTCCTCACGTCCTTGCCGGTGCTTTCTAGAATTTGTTGGAATTTTTGGGGGGAGTATCACATAGTGGCCCTATTTATTTGATTGTGTTATCTCGTGTATCAATTATGCTTTATCATTTTATTGACAATTTCATGGAAATATTTGTACAATAATATAATATTTTATATTGCATCTTATTACTTAAAATTTTATTGCGTTATTTTATGTCTTTTTCATTCTTAAATATTTTCAATACGGGGTACACCTTCTGACCACTTCGTAGTCCAACGCTCCGATGCGTATAATGCGTTACTCTAATTTTATTCGTCCATAAAATCACCTATGCGCATGAGGAAACTAATGGAACATACGTCGTTTTTAAAACTAATCGGAAATAGTAGTTGCAAATTTTATTCTAACTGTCGACAGTATTTTAAGAAGTCATGGTAACACGTCATGATTTTCAACCGTGAGAGCACCGTGAGAATCCATTAGCGCGGTTTTCAATCGAAAGCGCCTTCAATTTAGGGGTGATACTTTACGCATTGCCGTGGAGTTAATTTAGTTGCGTGACCTAACCGAACCTAATCTCAAGCGACTCACAATCATTTCATTACACCGTATCATTACAGATTTCAAACTTATATCTGGTCATGGGATGGAAATCGTTCTTAAAATGAGTCGAAGTTTTTGTTCCTAAATGCAAAATGTGGTCTAGTTATGCCCTAGAAAACGTTTTAGCCGAAACAGATTTAATTATTTTTCACCTGATTTTGATCCATGGTTTTATATTCTAGAATGAGATTTATTTTTAAATCCTACACTGAAAAAAATTCTCGGCGTTTTTACCAAGGTCCGTTGGTACCTTTACCATCTCACTTTTTTTACCAATTATTGGTAATTTTACCAAGACAGACTGGTAAGCTTACCTAAAGACCGGTATTTTCACTGTTTTTTTCCAGGTAAGAATACCACTTTTATTGGTAATCAATTCCCGGTAACTTCGCCATTTTATCTCGGTAATTCTACCACAGTCGATAAAAAATATTGGCGTTTTTACCAAGGTCCAGTAAAATTACCGAGGAAGTTCAATAATTTTACCGAGATTTCTCGGTAAAATTACCAATTCCACGAACGGTAATTTTACCAAGAAAAAACTGGGATCAAATAGAACCCTGAATTCTTGGTAATTTTACCCTTTTCTTAGTAAATACACCGAGATTTTTTTTTTCGGTGTATTTTGTGAGGAAGAAAGATAATACATATCTCAGATTTCATACTTCATACCTTAAAATTGAGGAGCCAGCTGAAGTTGGGTTCGTTCAAGTCGTCCGCTTCCGTCGCCGGCGGCGGCGTTTTGGAGGTCGGCTTGGAGGACGCAGGTTCCGGGTTCGCCGGCTCGGAGACGGGCGCGTGGATCGGCCCCGCAGGGGCCGGGACCGGAGCGGGCCCGGAAGTCGAGGACACGACATCCTCCTGCTCCCCGTAGCCGAGGATGTAGTCGTAGTAGTCTTTGGCCGTGAAGGAGTTGAGCTCCTGGTCGTCGATCAGGTTGGCGTGGTCGTCGATCAGGTTGGCGTGCTCGTCGATCAGGTTGGCGTGCTCGTCGATCAGGTTGGCGTGCTCGTTGATGAGGTTGAAGTTGCCCTCGTCGTCGTGGACGATGCGGCACTGGGAGATGTCGAGGAACTCCTCGATGATGGACTCGTCCTTCTCCTGGCCGGGGAGCTTCCCGTTGGTCATCGACTCCATCTCGTCGATGAGCTCGTCGATCCGCTTCGAGTTGATGACCAGCGGGAGCTTCGGGAGCGCTACTATCGGGTCCGGGTCCCCGAGGCTGTGCATCTCGATCGTGTCGAAGGCGAGCCTCTCCGTCGTGTCACCCGTCTTCACGAGGCACTTGCTCTTCTTCACCAGGGTCACCTTGTTGTCCGCCACGGTCTTCGTCGTCTCTTCCGCCCCGTTCTTCGGGGCGATCTTCCGCTTGCTCCCCTGCTTCCCCTCGCGGGTTTCCCGCGATTTCCGCTTCTTCGTCTCCTTGATGGGCCCCTTGGCGGTTGCGCGCGGCTCCTTGCAGTTCGGCCCGATCATCGCGCTGCCTGCAACACGGGAAAAAGAGATATCGATGACTGAATTGCGAAACCTTGTGAGGCGTCTAGCTCCAAAAGCGGTAGGCTCCATTGCCCTGTCTAAAAATTGTGCGATTTTTATAATTTTAAGAGTGAGAGAACGGGGAAACCCACATGTTTATGTTTTCTCGTGAATTTTCTGTTATTCAGCGAGAAAATTTGGAAAATTTTAAACACAGCTGGACGTTTTGATTATTCCTCACAGAAAATTAATATTGTTTTACAATTTTTAGACAGGGCAATGGAGATTGCTGGGTTTGGAACTAGGGGCCTCACGTATGAAGGGCCTGGAGGACGAAACTCTCTTTCCGCCATGAGGACCCATGTAATTTTGAAACATCTAACATGTATTTCTCGAAGCAGTAAAAACTGCACTTATGCGCCTTGTCCTCCAAGCCTCTCAATTCAAAGTTACCTTGCTAAGTGACTTACCGTCTAACATTTGGGCACTGGATGGTTGAAACCTCGCAACGTCTTGAACAAGAATGAAACCATGCGAAACCACGTATGAGGGGCTTGGAGAACAAGGCGCATAAATGCAGTTTTTGAAAAAATTGAGATGTAAACGATTTCAAGTAGAACTTATCTCAATGCATACTCTGTGAAAAATTCTCTCCCTAATTCCAATTTTTAAGCATCAAAAAGTCAGTTTGAACTTTTTTTCCGCCATGGGGATCCATGTAATTTCGAAACGTTGAACACGTATTTATCGAAATAGCAAAAACTGCATTGATGCGCCTTGTCCTCCAAACCTCTTGAATCTTTATTGCGGTGTTTCTTTTGGACCTATTTGTGCCAAACAGAATCAAAGACAGGTGGGGAAGAAGGGGTGTGCTTGTTGATCGAGGGCAGTAAGAATAAATGGGAATTATTAAACGCCAATGACGTCAGCGGTAACGAGACCGCCGCTGCGGTCAACTGTAGTGGATTTTAATTCATGAGCCTCGTCCACAACGCTCTTGTCTCATGCCCATGGCTCATGAGTGCCACATTCAGTTCGCACATAGTTCCGTTTGGTAGAATGTAAAATGCCGCTTTTCCATTTTTCCCAAGGGGATCTGGCTCACTTTAACATTTGTCCCATATGCAGCTTTCGTTAGCACACCTAATCTTTCCCACTCGTCAGTAGGTAGTTCCGTTTGCCAGAAATACATCCTAGTGGTCGCCCATGTTTGATTTTTTCGAAGAGAAACAAGCCAATTTTATACCTTAAAATTTACACAGAATATTCTACAAACAGAGGGAAAAAATCAATGCAGTTTTCAATCAAATTACATCGATTACCTTAAAAAAAAATTAACAGGAAGTCTGACAGGAAGTGACAAGAAGTTTGCAACGTTACAAACGGAGACAGGTGCTTTTGTTTTCTAGCCATCGATATTGCGTGGGCCTAATTGTCACATGAAATGGCAATTTTTGATCATAGAGTACATCAGAGTCGCTATGTGAAAAAGGGAAAGTATGAAATAGGCTCCTCGAAAAACGAGTATGCCCACATTGGAACAGTGGGATAAATCTCTGCAACTTATTGTGGGCTACGTCCTAAATTTTAATCACTTCTTCTTGTTTACGTACATATATGACCCTTTATTAATAAAAATACAAAATAATGGAAAACGTTGGTCGAAACCAGCCTCTAAACTCGAATTCTAAAATTCAGTTGGACGTGTTTATGCTAAAAGGAACTATATTACATATAATCCCTATGCACATGGTTCCTTTTAGCATAAATACGTCCAATTAATGCCTCGCATGGATATAGGTTCTATCTTTTTCCAAATGTAGAAGACCTTTATTAGCATGGACCCATTCAGTTGACAGAATCAAATGTCAAATCCATTATAAATAAACCTATGTGACGATTTGAATTAGCATAAGACTAAGTTGTCTTCTTTCATTGACGCTTTTAATGACCATTCTGACCCATCAAACTCTAATTGAAGGGCTTGGAGGACAAGGCGCATAAGTGTGGTTTTTGAAAAAAATAAGATTTCAATGATTTCAAGGAAAACTAGACTGTATGCATGTCCTGTGAAAAATTTGCTCCCCAATTTCAATTTTTAAACATCAAAAAGTTAGTTTTAACCCTCTTTTTGCCATAAGGATCCAAGTAATTTCAAAACTTCAAACAAGTATTTCTCGAAATAGCAAAAAATGCACTTATGCGCCTTGTCCTCCAAGCCCCTCAAATGTCATCGATTCATTTTATTATGAACCAAGAGGTTGCACTATCTAAACATTTGTAAGCGTCGAAATATTAGAGGTTAACCCCTTAGGATGCGTATTTCTTATTTAGCCTCTCCATATATTGTAATATATTCTTCAATAGCATCCTTTCGAAAGTTCGGCTTATTTACCTAAAACAAGAGCAATCTAATTGCATAGATTTATTTTTTAGTATCGTGCGTAAAAGGAGCTAAATCTAATACTTTCATGGTAGAGGGAGAGCGTTTATTAGATTATTTTTTTTTTTTTTTTTTAGAATTTGACGCTCGATGGCTAAAAAGCTGTATTTATCTGACCTCGAGTGTCTACTCGCTATTTTTTGGGATGATTGTCCATCGTCAGAAGGAAAAAAGTTGTGGCACCCCTCAAACAAGTTGATTGCATTTTCAGCCCTCACATTGTCTTCCGTGCTAAGGAGAAACGCCGTATGAGCCTTCAGGCGTTGCCAAATTTCCTTCGATAAAACACGAATTTTCTGGTTAACTTCACTGAAAAAAAATAATATGCTGTTTCAGCACCTAGGATGTCAAAAAGGTGTCTGGTGATCCCAGGATGCTGCCTTCACTGCCTTCGTAGTTACCTTTACATCCTATGAACGCAAATTCGACTGAGTGAGCAATCAAGGTAGCATCGTAGGATCACCAGACACATTTTTGACATCCTAGATGCTAACACAGCATACCATTTTTTTCAGTGTTATGAATATTTTTCCTCTACTTTTTCAGATACTTTTGTTTTCTCAATTTTACTCATAGTTCCTGAAAATTTCAAGGAAAAATATCCATAACACTCCTTAATAATAAACATTTCATAGAGGGAAAGTTGGCAACTCTCGAATGTTCATACGGCGTTTTTACTTAGCACGGCAGTTGTGCACGAAGCAAGTATGCCGCTTGCCACTATGCTTAATGTTTCCGTTTTGAGTTTCCGATGGAATACGTCAGACATAAGTTGAAAAACTGAAGTCTTTACATCAAGTCATTAAGTCTTTAAAATTTCATTTTTTTCCCCGAAAAAAGTTGTGCGACGAAGTCACGGCATTTCCCATGTTGACAGCCGTAATGATTTTTGTCAGTTCAAAAAACTGTAGATGCCGACTAAATATAATTTTCCTATGTTCACATTTTAGGGAATATTGGGTGTGAGGTTCCATTTTACGAAGGTCATAATACCGAAATTTCAAACGAAAAACAATTTTTCTCGAAAGTCAATTTTTAATTCTGTAATTATATTTTGCGTAATGTATTCTGTTATTTTTACTCATTAATGAGTGAATGAAAACTAGTTATGATTGCTCTGGCCTCGCTTTTGGTATCTCTAATTTTCCCCTTTTACCTTTCCGTAAGAGAAATCAAGGAATAATGCTGAAAAGTTTACTTACCTTAAACAAAGAAGTATTATGAAAGTTGTTATCTGCAAAAGAAACACGAATCAGGACTTCGAATCAAAATTCATGTTTTGGAGGTGCACATGTGAAAGCCGTTGGACGAAAAAACTTTATAACTGCAGAAAAATTGCATTTTAAAAAGTTTAGCTTCTCAATTGGAGTACAGAAGAGGACAAGTCATGATTTTTTCAACACATGAAATTGCACATTGACATTAAACAAAAGATTTTAGCGCAGAGAAAAAAGGCTTAGGTTCTATTGTATTGAAAAATAACTGTATCCGAAAATTCACTATTGCTTTGACTAGAAAAAAGTGTAGATAAATAAATTTCACTCAAAAGGGTATGATCCCCACTCTCTGTGTGTGATATAACGAAAAAAGATTGCACAATAGTTAAAATCGAACGAAACACAGAAAATAAACTGCCTTTATTAGTCCACTAAAACTATTTAACCGATTTCTTCAAGTTACCCGTCGATATTGCACAAAAAAGATACACGGAGGAGTGAATCAGTTCAATTTTTAAAAACATCCGAAAAAACTGGAATAGATCGAACACACTTTAAGGGAAAGATTTGTTTGCTTTTCTGCTTACTATTTCTTTAATCAGGCTTGGATTTAAATATTTTCTCTGTATAAGAAGCAGTAGTTATGATCTCTACTTTCGATTGAATGATGCTCGGTGGAGATTGGTATATTTAAAATAATTGATCTGTCCACGAGTGCGGCGAACAGGGGACTAGAAACCGGCGAACCAGCGATGCGGTGAGAACAGTACACTGGCACGGAGTACCGCGAACTACCCCTATCGCTGTCTTCGAGACACTACCACCCGGCTCCAGTGGAAGGGTGTTTTGATCCATTGGTTGTGGATGTTTCTAGCAAGCTTTGACTAGACTTCGTGAGCCTCACCTAAACAGTGTTTCAGAAGGGTGGAGGTTGAATTATTTTACTGTCGAGAGGTACTCGTTTGAGTTAAGGTAGATTTTCATCACTCTAGGATAGAAATTTGACAGTCGATTGATTGATTCATTATTTCACGGGTTTAGGACATTTCCTAAACATTTTCGCTTTATGCATAGACGAGAGGGGGCGTAGGGGGCTTGTGCTCCCTCCCGTGCGCTTGAAGAAGGGAGGAAAAAAGAGGGAAGAAAGAAAGATGGAAGGAATGAAGGAAAGAAGAAGGAAAAATGCTCATACTTGGAACATATTTATGACGAAGTTGACTTGAATTGCAAATTAAATGCTTTAAAACTTCAAGTTTTCTGAAGAGAGGCCCCCCAGACCTTCCTTACGCCCCCTCCCCCCGTTCAGAGTGTCTGAATTTACCTATAGCTGTACTTATTTTTCGGCACTGTAGCTCATCGAGGGCTTAGTTGCCTCGACTATGCCTCGTCATAGCGTTTTATCTTTGTGTGTGCTATAGGTATTTTTTTTTTGCTAGGTTTAGAAATTGAAAAAAGTTAAAGGCATAAAAAGGAATAAATAATCTATATGATCAAAAAACCAGTTCAATTTTTTGAGGTTCCCAATACGTCCGCGGTATACACAGAGGACTGGTTTGACTATCAATGTCATTACTATCACGCGGGTTGCCTAGAATCGAATTTGTAGGCTTTCACCGATTTCATTGCGACCAACTCTGTGGCTTACAAGACTAATGTTGGAGTAACGTTAGCCTGGTGATCACTATACGTCATTTGAATGCCAGTCTGCTAGACCTGACGTCAGTCCCATGTCAATCTGAGTTGTGTGACGTCAGACTGAAATCAAGTGGCGGTTACCAGCAAGGTTTACTTTATCTAGGAATAATTTCCTGAAATAAGCCCCTCAGGATCATTTGGATTTCATGCTGCAAAAAGGAAGCAAGAGCATTTCAACGTTGCTACACTGGAAAAAAAGACATTGGATCTAGAGTCCAGACTCTTAAAAACATCGACAAGAAAAAATACTCTTGATTCAATCGAATTTAAGCTTAAATCAAGAACCAAGCCTCTTAATTTGAGCGGATTTCCTTTTGATTTAAGCAAAAATCTGATTGGATCAAGAGTATTTTTTCTTGTCAATGATTTCAAGAGTCTAGACTCTAAATCCAATGTGTTTTTTTTCCAGTGTAGGATTGTGCAATTGACATCCTTTGCGATACAATTACTGGAATCACGCAAAAAATTGAATTTACTAGGGTAATTTTCGTCATGAATTTACAGTTTATCGAGAGTAAAGATGAATATTGTTTAGATGATCAATTTATATTTGCAAGGTAAACCAAGTTGCACAATCTTAGCGACATTGGAATGCTCTTGGTTCCTTTTTGCAAAATGCAATCCATTTAATCTATTTGTTTTTCCATTTTTTTATCGGTATGGCGAATTAAGTGGTGCAGCGGTATTTAAGTATGAGACTTTACACACAACTACACCAAATTTTCTTATTGATGCTTCGGATGCCTTTTCACTCGGCATTCTCTATTTCAATTTACCGAAATATCAAACTTCCCAACCGTAAAAACCCTTTCCAGACTGGAATATTCATGAAAAATCATGCTTAAACTATGCCTCGAAAATTATTCGTCACGATTTTCTGCGAATCCATCCCGCCCTTTTAAATCCGGAAAAATCTGAAAATGCATGATAACTGAAAAAAGAGTCGTGCTAAAAGCCTCACCATCGGATTTGCACACTTCACATATCACGTGCAGGTGACATTATCGAGATTGCGTGACATTACACGCATCACGTACATTGGGGTAACGGTGAGCAGCCAAAGGCGATGTGTCTGCAGGCTCTCCGAAGCGAGGCATCGGCTGCACGCGAGGGATACGTAGTTCAATGGGTAAATTTTTAGTTTGCCTTTTTGCGTTCCCAGCAGTTAGACATTGGGCATTCGCGAGACGTGAACATCCATCGGTGATAAAAAATTCCGACCAAAAAAGCTCAGGAATGGGAATCGAAAATGCCGATTCCAAGCCTACACGCCGCTAAGCTCTGTGCTGTGTTCAGACAACGACACATCGTTGGATAATTCGAAAGTAAGTAGTTTTTCGCCCCTGTTTTTTAGGCTCTCGATTATTCGAATCAAGACAATGTGAAAGTGGTCTCTCAGCGCTGTCGAGGACGATTCGGTAGTCGAATGATCGATTCATAATTTCTTGATTTTAGAGCATTTCTCATCAGGATACCAAGCTTCATATCACGCACTATAGCACATCGCGTATCTGTAAACGAAATTTGACCAGGAGACAAAAGCTTCAAAAGGACGTGCCGAGTGGCCAGGCCCGGATTTACGTTCAAATTGCTGCCGGGGGTACACTAGAAAAAAAAAGAATCTTAAATTTGCCGCCAAGAAGTATTTCTTCTTGAATCAAGAATTTTGCTGGTCAATATAAGCTACTTTTTTGCTTAACCCAAGCATTATTTTTCTTGAATCAAGAAAAAGTCAGCTTAAAGCAAGATAAAGAAAATTCTTGGCGGCAAATTCAAGAATTATCATGCTTGATCCAAGCTACTTTTTTTTTCAGTGTAATGGAAACATTTCCGCGGTTCCCGACTTGTGTGAAAAACATGACTGTGATGGGGGACTTTTAATAGGAGTGAGGGGTCCGTGGGCCCTTTCTCGGAAATTTTTGAAATTATAACAGCCCACCAAAGCAAAAACAAAATAGCCCTTTTCAACCCTTTCAACAATTAAGACCTTAATTTTCGTTTTTTCCGCGTATTTTTGCATAATTTTGCCTTGTTATTTTAAGGTTTTTTGAATTCCAAGTATTTTGTACTTGCTAGTATCAATCAAATGAAGCCAATGCTCATGCTACGCAACGGCTGCGATAAATGCCGTCATTTTGTTCATTTAGTCAATGAGTCGCACATCCTCACGGAATTTTATACCGCTGTTTGTTGCAACTTTGAGGCCTCTATTTTTGTATTTTCCCTCCTTCTTGGAACTCGGAATTTGCCCCTAAAATTTGCCGCTGGGGGTGGCTGCCCCTCATGCCCCGTAGGGAAATTCGAGCCTGCGAGGGAATGTTGCAAACTGGAAGACAAAACGATCAGCAATATTCACCCAGGACGTTTTGCCGGAGTTATTTCGAAGTGTTTTTCGTTCCTTCCTGCGCATATTCTTGATATGATGCGCGAATATGTGTGAGAAATGTCCTAAAATCCAGAAATTATTGATTGAGCGATCGACTATCAAATCATTCTCTAATAGGCAAAACAGCATAACTCTAAGAGGAAATTATACTGCGAGCTTTTTCCATCAAAAGTGAGAATGCAGTTTAATGACGTCACCTAGGATGATATGATCACTACCTTGTGCTTGTGCACTGATGAGTCTACTCGCACTTGTTCTTTATATTCTCTAAAGCTGCTGCAATGCTGCATGCCTTGCTGAGGAAGAACGCCGTATGAGCCTTCAGACATTGTCATGTTTCCTTCAGTAAGAAGTAACTTTACTGAGAAAATTGCGAATATTTTTCTTCAATTTTTTCATAAAACTTTGTTCGCAATTTAATATCTGAAATTTTCAAGTTCAAATATGCATAACTTTCCTTTGAAATGCTTGTTTTACCTGGGGAAATTTGGCAACTCTCGAATGTTCATACGACGTTTTTTCATGGCACGGCAGTAAAGATACACAATAATGCTAGTACGAAGAGAAGTAATTTTACGAGAACCGTAGCACTCAGATAAGATCTTACGAAGCCATGCGAAAATGATCCTCTAAACTTTCAGAGTATTATCTGTACAGCTACAGCTCAGAATGTCATATGCCGTGATACGCTCAGCCTTTGCGGTTTAATAGGTGACTCAGTCACCATAACCAGGCCAAGAAACTATGCAATCTCTAGAGGTCTAGTGAACAGCCTGTGGAATGTTAGTGCGGTCTTCATTCGCATTAAAACCGTCTGCCAGCCAGCCTTCATTATTGGAGATAGACCACCAGGCATACAACCAGTACTCTCTATCGTAACTTTTGTTGCACGCTATTCAACATTTCACTTTCAATAGGGGTTAGCCCTTGCGCAAAAGTATGTTCACCCAGAATACTTCATACCCCCTTACGAATTTATATAATTAGAACTCCAACATTTCATTGATAATTTCCGCCAAATTATATATTTTTTCTCTTTGTATAGATGACCTCAGCCGCTAAATGGGTGATTTTACTTGGAGTCTGTATCTTTTTCGTACATGGAATTGAGACTGACGGCTTGACGCACTCAGAAAATCATGAGTCTCTCACAACAGAGAGTAAGTAGAAATCCTGTAGGTTTTAAAGTATGATATTGTTGTAAATGTAGTTAAAGAGTGCATAACCGAAACAGAGGAAAATATCTCTTAATTTTTTTCAACGTTTCATCCAGGTCTTTCTGCGAGGAACTTCAGGCCGGCCTCCTTTAAGTATACTTCGTCATTGATTTGTTTGTCATAAAGCTAGTATTTCGGTGTCTCAGTCGATGGCTCTGAAATAACCAAATCTGGAAAAAAAAAACACACATTGGATCTAGAGTCCAGACTCTTGAAAACATTGACAAGAAAAAATACTCTTGATTCAATCGGATTTTTGCTTGAATCAAAACGAAGTCCTCTTAAATTAAGAGGCTTGGCTCTTGATTTAAGCTAGATTCTGATTGAATCAAGAGTACTTTTTCTTGTCGATGTTTTTAAGAGTCTGGACTCTAGATTCAATGTGTTTTTTTTCCAGTGAACAACGTCCGATACTTTTTTGTAAGCTTTGGGTTCTGCCTAACCGGATTCTGAACCGGCCGTAAGTTGATGTACATTTCTGACTCGACTTTTTTTAACTCTTCTGCAAAAGCAAAAATATTGGGATGCGTGCTCGAAAATTCTCTCCTCTCGTGTCTATGAGTCCAGGGGCCGATTATCGAAATTGATTAACAAAGCTATAGACAAAGAAGACATAGGGAGTATGCAGCGATCCTATTGGTTGAAATGGGTGCTTGTCATTGCCTAAGGAAGGAAATGATGGACTAACTACAGGGTCTCTCGACGGTTGCAGTTCGTTAGTCTACCTCCTTTGTCCATTGCAACCACCCGCTTCCACCAATAGGATCCCTCAATATCCTTTTTGTCTTCTTTGTCTATAGCTTTGTCTATCAATTTCTATAATCGGCCCGCTGTGGTAAGGTGATCAATATTTCCCCATTCGCAGCTGTGGCAGATAATCTTATGATTAAGGTTAGACTTTAAACAAACATTACATCTCTTAGAAAAGAGACAATTTCGCGGTAAAAAGCAGGAACAGCGTACTTCATCGACCCATTAGGTAACGCTGGAATTCGGTTGATCTACGGTATGCATTTTTGCTCTAAACATCATACTCAGCTACTCAGCACATCGCGATATCAAAACTCAAGCACAGAAAATACTGACTTCTTCACCGTGCAGCCAGCCGCCGTACAATGGAACGAGTCTATGGGAGAGATAAGACAAAATTTGGAAACTTTAAAAGCTTATGACTCCGTTCATACAAAATTTTGAGGCTTTAGAGTGGTTTCATTGGTTTCCTCATTTAGTTTTCTTGTATTAGCACCCCTTGAAATTTAAATTGTGATGAAATAAACATCAATATGTGCAGTTTTAGTAAAAAATTTCATGTCCGACCTCTAACTGACTCGATCCACTGTGCGCCGCGCCCCGCCGCGGATGTATCGGCGAGTGCCTGGAGAGTAAAAACGCCTTCAAAACCGAGCGTATGCATCACGGACATCCGGAGAGCTCGAATAGTTGCATCCAGGCGTTTTACTAAAATTCATTGAGTGTCCGCCGCATGTGATACTATTTAAGGGCGCGTTAATTGTGCGTTTCTCTTACATTTTAACTTAATTCCAACTTTGCTTAGTGTACAAATGAAGTAATCTATCACTGATTTTTACAGCGATGGTTTATATTTTTCGAAAGGTGTATTTGCTTGTTTCAATGTCTTACGGCGCACAGTAGATCGAGTCAATTACAGGGGTCGGACATAAAATTTTGGGCTATAACTACAAAATTTGGTGTTTATTTCGTCATATTTTTAATTTTAAGAAGTGCTCTAAGATGACAATTTCACGAGAAAACTAATGAAACTACTTTCAGAACCTCAAAATTTTGCATTAACAGAGTTATAAGCGTTTAAAGTTTCTAAATTTTGTCCAATCTCTCCTATTGACTCGATCCACCGTGCGGCGTTGACGGCCCTCGAAATCGCAGAGAATTTGAGCATGTAAGCATGATTTGTAGAGAATCTTTTAACTTAAATAAACAAGTCTTCCTCTCTCCTGATACTTCAGCTCTATTTTTCTCTCAGATCAATATACTTTTAACGTTTAACGGCGAAATTTTCACGGAACTTTCCAGAGAACGTGCACACAATTTTGAGCAAAATGATGACCGTTTGTCTCTCGAGAATATCAAAATCGACAGGGAATCTGTAATATCAAAAGCCGAGGAATGTGTATGGAATACGTCTGGTGGTACTGTCATTCTTACCCCCTCTATAAATCGCCCATATGATCGTCTATACTGTGTAAATATTCAAGTGAAAAAACGATTATTCAATGAACATTTTTTATTTCTACTATTTTTTCTCCGTTTCATATCCTCTCTCTCTCTCTCTCTCCCTCTCTCAAATGGGGGGGGGGGAGGGCTTAGCTCATTCTTTTTTTCAAAAGGGGGACATGGGAAAAGTGGTTGAGGTCAAAAAATTAAAATAATGACCAGAAGTAACTTATGGACCACCCGTCATTGGTGAACAAAGTTAATGATAAAAATATCACATACCAATGTGCACTGAAATCACATATCGACGGTGTGAGTCGGCAATCACATAACTCGGTTTGCGACGTCGCAGACTTCCTGTCATACTTTCTTTTTTAAACGGAAAACTACTCAACGGTAATTCTTTAAAACTTCCGTGATTTTTCTTCTCTGTGAGAAGAAAATTCTGCATAAACTTCAAGGAATGATGTCGATTCGTTCTCTTTAAAAAAATAAAAAAGGGCGGCGATTTTTAGACACCGCAAATGAGTTATGTGATTGCCGACTTACACCGTCGATATGCGGCTTAATCATACGATGTAATTTGTAATATTGATTTCAGATCAGCTCACTGTCAGAGCCCTGCGAACCCCACGCAAAGCCTGCAAGACGGATAAAGGATGTGAAAGAGCTTGCCAAGCAGACGGTTACAAGTACGGGGAATGTAACAATCAAAGATGCTCTTGCAAGGGCTACTCGGGATCTCCAAAGCGACAGCTGAGCGGTAGTAGTTCACCGCAACGCAAGCGGCTGACACCCTCCAGATCCAGGACACCTCCACGCACATCTAGATCTCCGTCCAGATCTTCCAGATCTCCATCCAGATCTTCGTACCGATCTCCATCCAGGTCTCCATACAGATCTCCACAGAGGATCTCCAGCCCAAGCCGTCGTCGCCTCACGTCACCCAGAAGTGGTAGATACTCGCCAGTTCGGCGAGGTCGTACCTCTCCTCAGAGACGGAGGTCTCCCACACCTCCTAGCCAAAGGCGTAAAGCTTCCAGGTCTCCGCCTAGAAAAGTCAAGTCTCCACCTAGAAAAGTCAAGTCTCCGCCGAGGAAGGTCAAATCTCCAGAGAGGAGAGGAGGAAGATCGGATGGCTCCAGAAGCAAAGAGAGCAGGAAGGAGGATTATCGGGACGACCGCACTTATCGCAGCAGTAGTCCTCGCCCTGCCCCTGCTCCTGCCGATGTCTTGACCTTCGATTACCCACCAGATGGTCAACCGCCTAAGGTCACCTATTCACAAAGACCAGCAGGAGGCTCATCCCCAACTAACTTGTACCAACAAGGAGTCAATCCTTACCAACAAAGAGTCAATCCTTACCAACAAGGAGTGCAAGGTTCTCGACCGGTCAATCCTTACCAGCAAGGAGCGAAAGGATCTCGCCCAGCCGCGAACACACAAGAAGGATTTGAAGAGGACAGTTCGGAAAGCACAGCTTCAACTAAAGATCCTTTCTCTCAAAAGTCACCACAAGGCTCAATGCCGACCAACTTCAACCAACAAAAAGCCAAAGGTCCGCAACCAACTATTCCTTCTCTACAAGGAGGTAGAGGAGCTCGACCAGCTGCAGGCATGGTGGAAGAATTTGGAGAGGATGGTTTGGAGGACATGGCTGCAACTAAAGATATTCTCTCTCAAAAGCAACCGCAAGGCTCAATTCCGACCAACTTCAATCAGCAAAAAGCCAAAGGCCCTCAACCAACCAATCCTGCCCTGCAAGGGGCGAAAGGAACTCAACCAGCCGCAAACATGGATAAACAACTTGGAGAGGACAGTATGGAGGAAATGGCTTTCGCTCAACAAAAGGCGAAAGGCTCTCGGCAAGGTGCGAAACCCACGAATCTTGAGGAAGATGATGATGGCGACGAACTGGAAAATATGGGCAATGGGCTGGAAGAAATGGAAGACTTGCCTACCGCTAAAGCTGGTCAGAAGGCTGCCGGAAAGTTTGGTGAAATTAAAGAAAAGGAGCCTGATCTGCAATTCGCGCAGAAAACCGCTCCACCTCCAGTCAAAGGCAAAAGTCCGGCTGGTCAAAACAGTGGCCTGCCATCTGTCGAGGAATTCGAAAATGAAATCGCCAAAGCCAAGGGCAAACAAAACCCACTTCCACCTAAACCTAAAGACCGTGCAGATGAAGATCTCTCGGATGAGGACGAGGAAGGCATGTTTGGAGGGAAAATGGATGGTGGGTTAGGCAAGAAGCTCGCGGCTGGTAAATCAGCTGCGGCAGAGTTTTCTGCTGAAGATGGCGAGGATGATCTCATGGGAAAAGGCGGATCAGACAGGAAACCCACGGCTAGTAAACAGTCAGCAGCAGATTTTGCTTCTAAAAGTGGCGATGATGATTTCATGGGAAAAGTCAACAGTAAAGTACAGAAAGACGGGAAGAGTATGGATGGTCTCTTGGACGGTGAGGAATTGGATGATCTTGATGGACTGCCAGGTGGAAAGAAGGGCTCGCTTTCTGGATTCGCCGATGAAGACTCAATGGAAGATTTCCCGGGAAAGATGTCACCCGACATGCCGCCTGGTAAGAAGCCGACCTCCGGACCATCCGACCGTCAAAATGGTAAACCCCCCGGTGCATCAAACCCGAGGGATTTCGATGATATTGACGATTTCGACTCTCTTGGGGTAAATCGAGCATCCGCAGCTAAAAAAGGAGGACCAATGGACTACGACCCCGAGGATGACGAACTGGACATGATGAACGGAGGTGGGAAATCGACCTCATCCTTTGGGAATAATAATAGGTTTGCAGGTGAAGATTTGGATTTTAAGTCGAAGATGGGGCAGGAGCCTTCCAAAGAACCGGCCGCCGCATCTGGGAAGAAACAGCTACCTCCGGTGAAGAATGGTAAGGCAGCTGGAGACGATACTGGAGGAAAAGGAACTCCAGAGAAGCAGGCGCCAACCTCGATGAAAAAGCCAAATGCGTCATCGCCGAGTTCAATCGACGAAGACTTTTTGGAAGGTATCGGAGTGGCATCGAAAAAATCGGACTCAAATACCTCTGATTTTGACAAGAAAGATACTGGTGCAGCGTCCAAGAAACAAATCACCGATAGGAAATCTTCACCCTTGGCCGACTACGAAGATGAGGATACGGATTTTCTTCGACCGAAACAACCGGGTTCACTCGCAGGGAAGAAGTTGCCGCCAAAATCCTCGATCGATGCCGACCTAGATGATGATGATATGGAAGACCTGGTGGCGGCTGCTAAGAAATCTGCCGCTGGATCGAAGAGGACGCCGTCGGGTTTTCCTGGATTGGAAGACGACGATGAGGTTGACGATTTCGCAGGAACGAGTGCTAAAACTCCGGGAAATGCGGCAAAACTAAGCAAGCCTCAGCAAGATGGAGCTGAAAACGCAGCAGAATCAGCAGTTTCGAAAAGTGGAAACGTTCAGAACAAAGCTGCCTCCAAGCCAAAGTCGTTATCAGCACTTCCTGATTTAGAGGACGAAAGTAATTATGACGATTTGGATTCGGATTATTCACAAGAGATGCTTAAGCCAACCTCTGGAACAAGAGGGAAAGGTGTGAAACCTTAGGTCTTGGTCGGAGTTGAATGTTGAAATGAGCCAGGCAATTAAACGGAATTGAAAAAACTACCATTCCTCAAACGCGAGCCGAGAAATGGCAGGAGTCAAAATAAACCATAAATTGACCTCTTGTATTACAAAGAAGGGAAGCTCCTTTTTTTCAGTAAAAAAAAAAAAAATAAAAAAAAATAAATAAAAGGAGATCGTCAAATGAGGGGTCTATCCGAAGACTCCTTGAAAATGCGGATTTATTTATTTACCGTGGGATTATAAAGAGACCTGAGTGTACAGAGGAACTTTTCCTTAATCAACGTTAACGGAGTAACAAGAGTCTGTAGATTTTTTTTCAAAAACACTTTTTTCGAGGATTCTTCGTTTTCATTAAAATATTTTTTTTATATTAAAGCTGGATTTACATTTTCACTATCGGAACTTCTCGGATAAAACTGTCTTATCTTAGCATCATAATGAACTGAGATAGTTCAAATTGAATAAAATTACTAAAATGGAAAATACAAACAATTAAACCACGTAACCTCATATTTATACTGTGATAACATAGATATGTATAAGTCATTTATAAATAAAGTATTCAGGAATATAGGGAAAGGAAAAAGAGAAAAACAAGTTACCATCGGTGTTCTCTTGTTTCTGCAATTAATTAATACAGTATTCGATGAATTGTCTCCATTGAGTTCACCCTTAATCCTTAGAGAAATGACTCGCGTTTTTTACATTATTTACTGACAAGGGTCAAAATTACTCGTATTTAGATAGCACTGGTTTTCTCCTATTTCACTGTTTTTGAAGAAAAGTCCTATCAATCATTTTAAGTGTGAAAATATAATTTTTCATGACTTGTATTCTCTAAGAGTCAAATGCTACCCCCCTCCCCCTCCCAAAAAAATCATGGTCTCCCAGCCCTCTTAATTTTACCCTCTCGACCTGGAAAATTGAGTGACTCGTAACTTTTTATACACAGTATAGTCAATATCAACTTATTTAATATATTTTTTCTATTTTTTTTTTTTTATAAAATTCACTTAGCAGCACTTAGCTTTCTTCTGATTATTTCTCTTTTCAGAAGTGATTACTATTTTTAATTTCTTATTAAAACAGTCTTCACTTTACAATTAAGAACGGAGTGAAACTAACCTTCCCCCTTCCTTAGAATCTAGAGAGAGAGGACTGGAAAGAAAAAAAAACTAAAAACATTACATTTATTTTATATACAGCAAAAGGTGAGCAAATATCATTCCGTCGCTCACGTCACCAGCATTTCTTGGCAGATATTCCGACGGATAAACTCAACAACGTGATGTTTACACTGTAACAACATCCAGATAAAACTATTTGTACTACATGGATGTGTGTAATGCATATGCAAAAAAATGAAGGAGCCATCTACGCCCTGGTAAAAATTAGCAGTAGGAGCTGCGTTTCAAAATACCATAGGAATTCTTATAACCGGCTAAAGAAGGCGATAGAGAATCATACAGCTGGCTGTAGAAAGCGGAGCAAATCATGTAGCCGGGCTATACGAAGCGATAAAAAAGTATACAGCCGGGCTATAGTTCCCATCACCGGGCTTTACACTTTATCGCCATCGGCTATAAAAGGCTATAAGAAATTGTGTAAAAATTCATGTGCTTTGGAAATCATTAAGTTTGATACAGAACCACCATAATGTTTACAAAAGACACATTATATTTTCCTTTAATACATTTTTTTTTTTTTCATCAATTAAAATGAGAATATCCTTACAGGATGTGCAAACATTTCAAAATCATGAGTTGAACAACGCTAACTCCGCGAGATTATATATTGGAACCTAACACAGAGCGGAGCGGCGCGGCGTGCTGCCAGCGATAAGCGCGCACTAGCGCCTACAAACCTAACAGTGATACTTCACGCATTGCGCAATGCGTGAAGTATCCCTGTTAGGTTTGTAGGCGCTAACCCTAGTGGAAGTCAGCCTTGTGCAGGTCCGTGCGGCGGAATGCTAGGTCCGTGCAAGTCCCCGTCACCTCCCGTGAGCCCGTGCAGAGGGAAGCGAAACAAAGGCATAATTTCGGGAATCCCATCCTTCGCAGATGGCTGCACGAGGTGACGGGGACTTGCACGGACCTAGCCTTCCGCCGCACGGACCTGCACAAGGCTGACTTCCACTAGGGAATGCGCTTTTCGCGCTGGCTGCCCGCCCGCCGCGCCGCAGCGTGCCACGGCTCTTGAAGCAACTATTTCACACCAGAGGTATTGCACAGTATCATACGAAATTGAAGGCGCTCCATCATATTAGGAATGGCAGGCATCCTTCAAAAGTACGGAACTTTCCGCGCCAAATAAATCAAGATACTACGGCCCAGAAATAGAGCGGTACAGTCCAAAAACTCACTAAGTACAAGCATTCGTAATTAGTAACGTTTAGCATACACTTTATCGCCAGGCTGTTGCTTAATCGCCATCGGCTATAAAAGGCTATAAGAAATTGTGCAGCCGGCTATAGAAGCTATTGAAAATCTAACAGCCGGCTTTAGGTCTATGGTGTTTTGGAACATAGATTCTACTGCCAATTTTTACCAGGGATACAGCCGGACTTTAGTTCCTATCACTGGACTGTGCAGTTTATCGCTTGGCTGCGTAGCTTTATCGCCATTGGTTATAAAATGATATAAAAAATCGTATTGCCGGCTACAGAAGCTATAAGAAATCTTATAGCCGGCTGTAGGTCTATGGTATTTTGGAACACAGATCCTACTGCCAATTTTTGCCTGCGGACTGTTTATTTAAACTGATGGACAAAGCAATAGACAAAGAACACACAGGGAGTATGGAACGATCCTGTTGGTTGAAATGGTTGGTTCCCAATGCTTAGTTACATAGTCACCTCCTTCATACTGTCAGAATTTAGGATTCTTTCGTACTTAAACAACGAGGCCAAATTGTACCCAACACTTGAAAAAATGATGAAAAGGTTTCGATAAAAAAATACAGTGTTATTAAGTCGTAAACTTACGAGTGGTTTCACGACAGCTGGAATAGTTTTGTCGCCGTAACAGACAACACATTTTTCGATCATATTTCTGGTAGAAATGATAATCACTCGACTTTTTTCGCATTAATCTTCAAAGGATTACGTATCATAACGCTTATTTCTATTGATTTATTGCTCTACCTCTCAATTAATATTATGTAAATTCCGAAAATGTGCTATCTGTTACGCGGTAAAAAGTCAGCGTAACAAACAGCACATTTTCGGTCATTTATAAATGTATTAAAATTGAAAAGTAAAGCGATAAATCTTTGAAAAGCCTTATATAACACGTATGAAACCCTGTGTAGATAAATACAAAAAAATTCGTGTGATTATCATCACCACTAAAAATATGACCGAAAAATGAGGTGTCTGTTTCGGCGACAAAACTATTTCAGCTATCGTGAAACCACCTTTACACCGTCGGGTTCATTTTTGATGAAATCTCTGACACTAAAGAACTTTTAGGAAATTTGACTTTGTTACGGGTGTTTTCGCAACAGTGGCGAGAGGTGGATGGTCGATTATCCATATTTCCTCCTGTTCGTTGCGAACACCCTGTATATCGATCATTTTCCATAACTTTGAATGACATATCAATCGATACATCGCAAAAGCACGCCACGCTACTGTTTTGCGACTACATAATCGGTACAGTCGTGTAGATATTATTTTTATCACGATCTTCCTGTTGCGCATGTTTGTTTCCAGATTTCACACCTCAGTGTGAGCTAATGAGTTTCTTCTTAATGAAGCTGAATTCAAGAGAGGATTGAATCCCAAATATACAACATGCGTAATTAACAAATGTGCGTGTTTTCCATTGGCATTTGGATTTCTCAAAAAACTAGGCATTCTGGAAACTGCAGTGCTGTAAATTTCGAGAGCTAAGGTCGTAAGGGAAGGAAGCAAAAACTTTACCTACAGCAAAAAATAAATATCCTCGGATAGTATTCCAGTAATTAGTAAATTCAGAACATAGGAACCACTCTTATAGTGACGGATAAGTTCTGCGGTGAAATACGCCAGGAAGAGTGTTTAACGTCAGTGTGGGAGGTGGCCTTTTTAAACTCGGTATGAGTTTCGACCGGATTTTAAAGCGCTCAACCGATAGGGAGTGCTTTCTGATTTTAAGCTGCCTCCTGAATTCTAGTACATTAATGGTGGCAATGAGTTCAAATGGCGCACCAATTCAACAACAAGATGGCGGAGAGGAGCCTAACTTATTTAGAATAGATTCATCTGTAATACCGTTATTCAATGTTTCTGATTTCAAAGCACGGAGGACGATAATCTTTTTTTGGCGCGTATACGTAGTATACCGCCTTTGCGATCGTTTCGACCCCCCCCCTCGATACAATAACCGAGTCCCCTAGTTCCTTACCGAAAAGTGACTACCGCGAACTTCTGAGATTTTCCAAAGCGTGTAAAAAGTTTACTAATCCGTCAATAATAATGATTAAAATTTGTTTCTCATTCTGGGGCTCGCTAGTTTATGTGTAATGAATACCAAGAGTCTACGTTTCTTGGTTTTTTTAAAAAAAACCTTAGAATGGGGCGCGCTGATTTAAAATATGCATATATAAGCGGAAGCAAGCGAACTGATTCGAGGATGGCTGACCAGTTCGGCACTCCTTGAATGAGAATTTCACTCACTCCGTTTTGTTCACAACGTTGCTTTGACATATCTCCACAACACTGTTATCCTTTTCAAAAGTTGGTACTCCTTGCTCTGATAGCCGGGGCCACCAGGATAGTGGTAAGTGCAATCTGTGATGAGCCTCGAGACTCATTAGACCATTTGCTAAACGTGGCTCATACAGGAGTCCACTAAGCCCTCTCGTCCCCACGCTCCTGATCACTGCGTCGGCGTCACGAAGAACAATGGGCCTTGGGTCCCAACGCGGCCGATACCCGTACCCCAATTACTCACGCTTCATTAACCATTTCACCGTCACGCTAGGATTCATCCAATTTTCAAAAAAAATTGTTTCGCATGTATTTAGCAATTTTTTCCTTACTCTCCGTTAAAACACAAATAAAAAGAGACCTCATTCATAAAAATCGGCCGAATAGAAGAGAAGTTACAGTAATCGAAATCCGAAGAAATCAACAAAACCTCGACTCCTCGATACGAAAAATAAAATGAAGGGGAAAAAAAGAAAGTATAAATTACAATTAAATATAATTGACCTCAAAATTTGACAAACAATTCATTTATATACCTAACGCTGAAAAAACTGGGAGAAATTACAAAAAATTTGCCTCTTGCAAGGGGCTTCTTTGTAAGAATTTTGACCTGAAGACAACGGTCGAATAACAGCAGTACTCCATACAATACACGGTGTGCCTGAACGAGTTAAACATTTTTCATACGTCCAAATCGAAAAATCTTTATATTTTTAACTACAATGTTTCTTGAATCGTTTAAGCAAAAAAAAAAAAAAAAAAAATTCCGTCGAGATTCTGGAACGCAAAGGCGCTTTAAAAGTATTCTGGGGCTATAATAGCTAAATCACCGGTAGTAAATTCGTTATATTATTAAAAAGAAATTGACTCCATAGTTTAATTCCTTAGTTTCTTGAATACGATTATTTTAAGCACTTAAACATTTATACCACCAATTTTAGCCATGGGGTGATTTCCTGAGAGCCGATAATATCACGAATTTCTCATAGAACCCCTCAACAGTGGCTTGCTTTTTTGGCAGCCGATTCGGCCATCGAACCGGAGTTTAAATGGAAGCTGATAATAACCCAAAGCTCTGAGAAAAATTTTGAGATGAGTATAAGAACGGTTTGTTGTAAGTAGCGAGGAGAGGCGGGCAAA